CTGCTCTAACTGCCGCGGTAACAAATCTGGTCGGGACCCCCACCCTGCTGCCTTGATTGTACTACGCCTTGTACCCTCACAGCTCAGTGCCGATATTGCAGTCCCTTGTCGCGGAGTTCTTTCACCGCTTATCTACGAGTATCCAGAAAACGCTTCACTCAATGTGTGCGTGTGCGTCGACACCCAGACAAGCCTTACAACGTAGAGTCTGCCTCTCTCGTCACGACCGAAGGCCTTTCACGGTCTCCTACACCACCCCCAGTCGTTCCGGTCACCGACACACCTGTGGGTGGGAGACTAGACAGGTTTTGGAGAAATTGGTCCATACTAGAGGACCCGTTCGTGGCAAACGTCCTCCGTCTGGGGTTTTAGCTCCCGGTGGTACTACATCCTCCTCTGACGTCCACTCCGACGGCAGATGCGTATTCACCAATATCAGCTCCTTCACGACAGCGTCGACACCTTACTTCGGAAGGAGGTCATATAGGATGTGCACGACCCGGTTCAGAACCCGGGATTTTACTCCCTGGTGTTTTTGGTTCCCAAGAAGGGCACCACCAAAATGCGCATGAATCACAACCTCTCCATTTTCAACCGGCGCTACCTGGTACGTCCTCATTACTTCCGGATGACGACGTTGAGGCTGCACAGGACAAGAATCAAAGTAGGCGATTCCCTTATCAGCCTCGACATCCAGGAGGCCTATCTTCATGTGCCCATCCACCCCAACGACCGGCGATTCCTTTTCAATAGTACCCATTACCAGTGGGCGGTTCTACCATTTGGAATTTCCACGGCCCCGTGGCTTTTCAAACGGATCACCAAGCCTGTGGCCGCCTAACTACACCTGAGGAATGTCAACTTCGATCAACGATTGTCTCCTCAACAACCTGGACTCTGAGTTGCTACTTCGCCACAGGGATTTTACCCTGCGACTCTTCCATCAGTGGGGTTGGATCGTCAATCAGACGAAGTCAGACCTGACCCGATCCTTTCGTCTGCAGTTCATCGGCGGCCTGTTTCTCACGAACAAGGATCTCCTTCAAGTTCCCAGGGACAGGTGGTTGAAAATCCTCGACAACCTCTGCCAATGTCAGATTCTCCTGGGTCTCCTCACCTCGGCTCAAGACCTGACTGCCAGGGTTCGCCTTCAACTCCGTCCTATTTAACGGTTTCTAGCCCCCTTCATTTGGCGACAGGATTAGGAGATTCCCATCGTCCTCCCGGTTCAATGCACCCATACCTCCGGTGGTGGACGGTGAAATGGAATGTCTGCGGCGGTGTCTCCTTGACACCCTTTGGGGGGGGGGGGGGGGGGCAGGTTACACTTGCAATTCCTTCCAGGGTGCAAGAATGTTCTGGCAGACGCTCTGTCCAGGCCGGACAAGGTGGCTCCCACCGAATGGAAGCTCAACCCAGAGGTCTTCACCGGACTTTGTCAATCGATCGACATCCCAAACATCGATCTGTTCGTCACATTTCAGAATTGCAAGCTGTTGACTTACATCACGCCGGTCCCGGATCCGGCTGCTGTGGCAGTCGACGCCTTCAGTGTTCCCTGGGGGGGGATTAAACGCGTACGCTTTTCCGCCTCTCGTTCTCCTTCCCAGGGTTCTTCAAAAGATCCAGGCCACTCGGAACTTGACACTGATTTTGGTCGCGCCTTGGTGGCCGACCAGTTGATTTGTCGACCTCCGAAACATCGCCAGAGACAACCCCCTGGAACTTCCGGCGTGGCCCAACCTTCTGCTCCACCCACACAGTCGGTTGCCACACCCAAGCCCCGCTCGGTTTCGTCTGCACGCCTGGCTCATCTGCAGAAAGCGCTAGGAACTAAGGGCTATTCGATTACAGCGGCCAAAGCTATTGCATTAGCCCATTGTCCATCTACACAGGGACTGTATGATGATAAATGGTGCTCGTTCCAGGCACTCTGCTGAGACAAACACCAGGATCCGACGACAGAGTAGACAACAGTTCCTGGCTGAGTTCCTTCTGTACTTGAGCAGCACCCGTCGGTTGAATGGCTTTACCATCTCCATATACCTGGTCGCCATCAACTCCGTTCTTGCCATCCCAGACGATCGGAGAATCGCGAAAATTCCCGTACTACAGGCCTTGCTGCGCTCGTTCCGTCTTGAAGACAAGAAAGCCAAGTTCAGACCGCCTGCGTGAAATCTGAATGTGGTCTTAAAGGCTCTTCGAACCACTCCACTCGTCTTCCTTCTACGACCTAACGTGTTTCTACTGGTCTTGGCTACTGCCGCTCGATTCAGTGAGCTCCACGCCCTAGACGTCTTCCATGTCCGGTTTGAACGCGGGACTCATGGCGCCGTTCATCTTGGACTGTGCTGGGACTTCATCGCAAAGAATTAACTCCCAGAACAGCCTGATAGATCATACACCATCCACCAATGTGGAATTATTAGTTAGTCAAAAGCAGGGTCTAATAACATGCATTCAAAAAAAACGACAAACCAACATAGCACCTAAAACTTTGGAGACCAATTTCACTATTAAATGTCTTCTAAACGAGGATCAAAGAGGTTTTATGTCAAAGCGATACATTGGAGAATGCACTTGATTAATTTGTGATATTTACTTTACTGAATGCAAGGGAATCCCAGGATTGATATTACTTTGAAAAGGCGTTCGTTTCAGTGGATTGGGATTTCATCCAAGAAGCTTTGACTTTTTTTTAACTTTGGACCTTCAGTTAAGCACTGAATAACAACCTTATATCACGATATAAAATCTGGTGTTTTAGTTGACGGTTTTGCTTCAGATTTGTTTCAAAGTAACAAGTGGATGTAGACAAGGTGATTTATATTCTTGTAATGCGCTGACATTTTGGCAATCATGCTTGCAGACGACACATCTCTCATATTAGTTGGAACTAAAAAATGTCTCCAAAAACACCATGACAACTCTTCAAACATATGCGTCTTTTTCAGGCCTAAATATTAACACAAGCAAAACGCAAGTGTTGTGGATAGGCTCACAACGCTTCTCTGATAAAACTATGCACAAAAGTTGGAAATTGAGATTGGTCAAGAAAAGGTTTTACTGTTCTCGGTATTATATTTACTCACAATTTGGCAGAAATTGCAGAAAGAAATTACAAACACAAACTTAAAAATCATTATGAACTCTTGATTAGCACGTGACATGACCCCATTAGGTAGAATTACTGCACTAAAAAGTCTTTTTTTTACCAAAACTAACCCACCTTTTCTCAACCTACCTAATCCAAGTGAAATATTTATAAAAAAAACAAAACAACTCGAAACACTGTGTTTCCGTTTTATATGGAAAAATAAACCAGACAAAATCAGTAGAAATAATATAATAAAACCTTATGAAGAGGGAGGTATAAGAGTGCCTGATATTAAACATACAATCAATGCTCAAAATATATCTTGGAATACATGTTTATTCCATTCACATCCACACTCTAAACTTGCCACTCTTTTGATTAATAATATAACTCCATCACAAATTGATTTTCAGCAAAAGTGCCAATTTTATATTTCGGAAAAGGTTATTAATGATTGGGCCAATGCATTCTGGAAAGATGTTCTGTGTGCATGGGGAAGCTTACTAGAAAAAAAGGAATTCTATCAAAGAGGAAAAAGATATATTATCACAACCTTTATGGCTAAATACGAATATAAGAATCGGGAACACTCCGGTATATTATAAACCATACTCGGGGAAAAGGTATTAATCTTGTAAATGATTTGATAGACGAGAGTGGACATTTTCTAGATATTTTAGACCTAAAACATATATACGACTAAAATACATTTTCTGGAATATTCTAGTCTTATCCAAGAAATAAAACAATATTTAAAGCGTAAGAGTATAGCCCTAACATCTAAATTACATCTGCCCTTAATACCATATTTCCTTGAAAACTTGGAGTAGGGGAGGGGTGTAGGCCATTTTATGATATATTAAATAAGGTATCAAACAATATGATATACATTCAAATACATTCAAATATGGGAACTAGATCTTGGCCTTAACATGACGGAAAACGAATGGCAAACGACTAATCGTTGCCCCCACAGATAAAATGTGTCCTCAAGACAAAAATGGTTCAAATACAGTATTTTTCACAGAATTATACCACAAACGAGATACTGTACGAAATGGGATATAAAGAATCATTTCTTTGCAATTTTTGTAAACGAGAAAAACAAACCTTAATGCACATGTTCGTTGAGTGTGAAATTGAAAAACAACGTTGCAAAATGGATCAAAGACAAAACTGGAAATGAACTAGAATTTTCAAAATTGACAGTCTTATTTGGACATCAACAAACACGAAATGATGTATTAAATCATATTATAACTTAACAAAGCAGAATATATTCAAATCACACATTTCCGACTCCATACCAAATTTCCAACACATCAAACAAGAAATAATCGACATCGACAAAAATATACCATATTCACAATGTAAATACACACAGTTCATGATATTTTGGTCACTCTGTCATCACCTATTCGTGTAAACCCACGAACTTGCACAAATCCAACAAAGATGTCTTAGCATCCTGACAGTGGAATGTTTTTTGTTTGTTATCATCTATAGAACTACTTTGAAACGTGTATGTATTAAAGATTGCAAGTGAACTATATGATGTAAACTTATTGTTTGTGTAATCCAAAATGAATTTAATCATTAAAAAAAACATTGCAAGAACGCCGTCACAAGCTCCGAACCTTCAGAGTGAAAGAGCCATGCAATTTGGCCCTCGCTTTATATGAAGGTTTATACACTCAAACTAAGTTAAAGTCAATTCTTAAGTAAGCTTTTGAAGTTACACCTGTCACGCACCAGTACACAACGAGGTTTCCCATCCCGTGTTGAGAATAGTGATACACACATCATTCAAATACTCAACTGTAGACATTTCCTCCAATCATTTTTGACATTTGTAAGTGTGTCGCCCGAAACATCCGGATATCCTGCCATCGTTCCACAGCCATCCTCCCATCCTTACAGTGCACTGTCGCCATGTTGTCCTCTCTCGGAGCCACACTAGTCTTCCTGCAGGGCTGTGCAAGGTAGGATCTTGTACTTCTTGGACATGGAGTCAGGTAGAAACAGGCATTTGCCAAGACGACGAGCAGCCTCGGACTCTTTCACTTTGCATAATGTTTGAAGACAACATCTGTATCTCATATTAAAATATCTTCTTTTTCTTGTTTAATCAGCCTAGAAATGTTGTTTTCTATTTTCAGTTTCCACACACTTCATAGGTGTGTCTACGGTCCTCTGGGTAAGTGCAGTTTTATGTGATTTTACACATACATCACCGAATGATATGTTAGTTGGTATAGGCAAACAGGCAATAGGCATGTATGCAGAACAGTACCGCGTACTCCATACCTCGGGGCAGTAGCGTAGGTTTGTGGTTAAAGCTTTCGCTCGTCACGCCGAAGACACGGGTTCTATTCCACACATGGATACAATGCGTAAAGCCAACTTATGGTGTCCCACGCCGTAATATTGCTGCAATATTGCCGAAAACTGCGTAAAATCATACTCACTCACTATAAACGGACGAATTTCTAAATGGGTTTGTTTCTTGTTAGAAGTAGAGTTGGATCTCGTATTACGGGATATGATTAAATGTGCTTGCAAGTATGTGGAATAAAGTGTGTTGAAGTCATATATGAAATGTATGAATGTCCGATTGGTTTTCTATCAGAAGACGCGAGACGATTTGACGAACAGCAGCGGCGGCAACAACCCCCAGGTATGACGAGAGGAAATCCATTCTCCATGCTTGTGGGATACCTATTGGTTTAAGTTTAAGATTAAGTTGTATCTACATTGTATAAATTGTTATTCTCTTTCCCCTCTGGTTACTATGAGGTAGCAGTTCACTTGACACAATCAAATGAGATATCGATAATCATATGACTGTTTGTTTCTACTATGACCGAATTCTTTGCAAAATTATACCTAATGATATTATTGCTGCAGACATTCATTCACAGGCTTTGTGTTGGACTATTTCAAAACAAACACCTCATCACTACAAGATTAGTAGATGCTTTACTGATGATATGTTTATTGTGTTGTCTTTTCAGGGATGTGTCTCACAAAAGAGTGTATACAACACGGTCAGTGCATTTTCCTTCCACAAGAATGCATGTTAAAAGATTGTGTTAGTCCTAACCTTTTGTTAGTTTTAGAACATTTAATTACGGAAAGGATTGGTCATTCTCCCAGGTTTAAACATGCATCAATATTTGCAATTTTGTACATTTTATTAAAAGGGAAAAGTATGCATTTGTAAGTTTAATTTCATCTGGATGGGCCGGTCTCTGAGGCACTTCAATTCCCTATGCAGAGTTGCTTTACTTGGGTGTGTCAGGAAGCTATAATCGTAGGTTTAAATCCCAAATTCGCCCTGATTACGTTTCTAGGTATACCCGCCTCGTTGTTTTCATCAAAGTTGAAAAAACATAAAAAACCTACATCATCTTGGGCCTTCACCTCACATCAAGCTGAAACGCCATGATATAACTTGAATACTCACTCACTGTACTGATTTATTTCACAGCCAACAACGTCTGGTCTCGCATGAACAGAAGCGCTGACCCCTGTGAAGATTTCTTTGAGTATTCCTGTGGCGGTTGGGTACGGAGTCACGCTATCCCGGACGACCGCTCATTTTACGACACCATAGCACTTCTCCACGATGTGTCCCAGCGGCAACTGAGAGGTCCGGTACACACGTGTGTTATGTGCGTCATGATCCTACTTCCTTTCCCCAGTTGTCTTTGGAGGACAACGCCGGGGTGTATTATCATCCATTGAGACAAACACATCCCACAGATTGCGTTTAAACATCAGATGTTAACTGTGTATAAGCATTAAGTTCACATATAATAAGACCGTCCTTAGACGTATCCACTGTTACGTGTGTTCGTGTACTATCGTCATTCCAGTAACAACTCTTGTTGTTCAGATCTCATGGAGGTTGCAGGTTCTATGGAAGATCCCGAGTCAATGCAGAGAGCTAGGACCCTGTACAACTCATGTGTGGATGAAGGTGATAGATAGATAGATAGATAGATAGATAGATAGATAGATAGATAGATAGATAGATAGATAGATAGATAGATAGATAGATAGATAGATAGATAGATAGATAGATAGATCAGTGATTCTGACTTGCTTCATGCACTGATGTGTACTGATGCACTGATGTGTACTGATACAATGCCATGAACAAAATGTTATCACAGGAACCATTTGTAACTCAAATATCCTTTCAATATGGACTAGAAAGTGTTTACATCAAAAACATTATACATTGTCATGTGTTTCCAGATACAATTGAATTCAAAGGAACACTCCCAGTTACTGACTTCCTCAGACAATATGGCGGATGGCCACTGTTGCAAAGGGGAGATAACCTGCCCATTACAATAGAGGATTTGATAGCTACGGCTACTAACGATTTCATGAACGTTATTGTCACCATATCAGTCTCAGAAGATTTAAAGAATTCGTCACGGATGGTCATTTATGTGAGTACTGACAATTTAGTTGAATTTTTCTACACCTGTAATTTATACCTTCCTGGGTGTGTTGCAGTTGCAGATACTCTGGATTTCTTAACGTTTAACTTTTCACTAATTTGGTGAGATCATGGCTTGAGTTACTGGACTGTTTATAACTTGTTTAAAGCCGCAACTGAGATATTAATATTTACACATGTAATTTATTATATACTTTTTGTGTAGTTAAATTATTTCACTACAAATGTAATCCAAAAATATTTGTCACGAACAAAAAATATTCTTGAAAACTATGAGACCGCTGTTGGCAGCGAAATAATACACGCTGGTCAAGTAACAAAAATGGCGCTTTGCGAAACGAAGAGTCTCGATTGACGAGTTAAATGAGCATTTTACAGTTTATACGGAACAATTGCGAGAGAATAAACGACACGAAGTGATATAAATGACCATCAGTCATTATTTTGCCTTGTCAATGTGGAACTAGCGTAAAAAGGACTTAACGTTTTATGTACGGGCTAGACACTTACGATAAAGGGAGACAATTTAAGGGGTGGTAAGTCTTGTATGACAATAGTGACTTCAAAGTTATGTTTACTGCACTGAAAATATCACTTTTCTCAACTTCAGAAAACTCAGTCTTTCACACTGAAGTATATAATAAAACTATGTGTCATAACTGTACAGGGTCATGTACAGAATTATGAAATAACGTACAGTTCCTGTAATGCCAGTTGATTGTCTATGGATAACCATAAGGGATATATGTTGCTAGCTGGACCAAACGTGGCTGGGAATGGGCAACCGAGGCTATTTCCTGCATGGTTTACAGGACAAGTTAATGGTGGCCTACAGAACGTTCATCAGGAATGTTGCCACTGAGCTAGGAGCTGATCAAACCACCATTGATGCTGATGTTGACGACTTAATAGACTTCGAAGTTAATTTGGCTAATGTGAGTACTTACCTGAGACTGAGCATGTGGCGTTCTGTACTCTGCGAAAGTAGACATCGATTGAGGTATCTATTTCATTGTGGTAAAATATAATCCCGTCAACAGGAATACGGTCTGTAATTGTAGTTTGTGAAGTAGCCATCGGTTTAGGTAAAATGTATTTGATTGTGATACAATATAATCCCGTCAACAGGCATACTGTCTGTAATTGTAGTTTGTGAAAGTAGCCATCGGTTTAGGTATAATGTAATTGATTGTGATACAATGTAGTCCCGTCAACAGGAACACTGTCTGTAATTGTAGTTTGTGAAAGTAGCCATCGGTTTAGGTATAATGTATTTGATTGTGATTGCTTTCTTTTTAGAATGAGTTTCATACCTTAGTGATGAACATCTATGTATTAAAGGCATTTCCCGCAACATGTTAACAAATGTACTTTTCCAAGATATCCATACCAATGGAGGAGAGGCGAGATTATAATGCGTTATACACCAAGAGGACTGTTGGGGAAATGTCGGATTTATACCCAGTGGTAAGGTTTTTCAAAGCTTTTCAAAAATCGTATTTCCTTGTTTATGCCCCTGCACATTCTTTCTTCAATTAGACTGTCCAACAAGCGAACAGACACGACAAGGTTCTATTTTGAAATTAGTAGGCAATATTACAAAACTTAGTTCATTTAAGGATTTAAGGAAATATTATATATTTATGTCCCACAACATGCAATAGACTATGGTCATATACATTGAACCAATATAATCATAGGCGGTTAACCCAATAACATAGATCAGGGACTAGTCATATAGTATAGGAGGATGGGAATGTTGGTGGAAAACGGAATTTTTAAGTTTTGTATTTTAGAGTGCTAAAAGAACAGCATCAATGTATTCATGTAAATCTTTCACCCTATGAACTTCGGGTAGTCAAGTAAATTAAAGCGACAAAACCATTTCCACAATCTTAAGAATTCTGTACAAAGAGCAAAGTTCTTTGTACGATTCCGACTAGATAATAAGCATGTGTATATAAATCAGCGATACCAGGTGCTTGCGAGAAGGTGAGCGTATCCTGCCAAATCCGTGGCACCCGTCATAAAGACTTGCAAATGCACCTGAAAAACACTGGAACATATGCCTCGAAAATAATTTTTGTCACTGATGCGTCAAATGTGGAAATGTCCTCCACATACCTGCCATTAAACCTTTTGAGACCTTTACTGGGGCCATGGATGTTTAAACTGATAAATACAACTTTAAGCAAGAGTCATATGACGTTATTTGAAATCTTCGAAAAAACTCATGTTCGATTCTGCCTCAAAGGCTAGAGCTGATAGAATATTGCTTGACATAAACAGAAAATTGGCTCTTGCTGAGCTGAAGTCACCCCGCTTGTCATACAGTCGTTTGGAGAGTTTCTTGTAATTCTGAATCCTTATGCATAGATCTGAATATGAAACAGATGAGGCAGTTTCACTGGTCTCTTTTATTTCTAGTCCAGGGACCCGTTCCACAAAGCGATCTTAGGGCTAAGTTGATTGTAACTCACTAAGTATGCGATCTTAAATTTTTGTTACGATCAGCCGCCCGTTCCACAAAGCAATCTTAACTGAGAGAGTTGTAAGTAAAGATCAAAATGCTAAGTTGCCCCGGACCAACTTAGGATTGCTAAAATCGATCTTAAATATTGTACCATAACAACAAAGATGGCGACTTTTATTATGGTGTGCAAGGAAATGCGTCGTCTGCTAAACATGACCAAGGGAGGCCACTCCAAGGGTAAATTTCGTATCTTTGTGGCTGAAGATTCCGATCTTTGTTAAGATCGGCTACTTAAGAACTTGTAAAGTTACAATCACCCTAAGATTGCTTTGTGGAACGGTTGTAAACTTTAGCTAAGACAATTTTAGAATCGACGTAAGTCTCTAAGATTAATTGTAGTTATGATCACTTTGTGGAACGGGGCCCTGGTTGATAGATCAGTGGAAGAGAATTGGATATTTGATCAGTGTTGAACGATATCAGATTACCGATAAACCTGAAGCTTAAGGTAAACTTCTTGTCCAGATTCTCTTGTTTTAGTTTTGTCAATGCATGTTACACCCTCTACTTAATGCAAGTAGGTTATAACCTATAGGTAATTAATATACACTAGGCCTTTGATCTCCCCGGTACATGCATACTGATTGACTGATTGACCACTTAATGTGTTGTAACCGTACGGATATTGCCATTGTAAACAATACCTGTTGTATTTCTGTTCAGATAAATTGGTTGTCATTATTGCAACTTGCGACGGGCAGTGCTGGCGTCAATATAAGAAAAGGGGACGATGTTATAGACTTTTCTGAAGGCTACTTTCAACAACTTGTTCCTTTGCTGCAAAATACCCCACTTAGGTAATGTTTGCACTGTTCTTAGCTCATGTTTGCTCTGTAATCAGGTAATGCTTGCACTGTACTTAGGTAATGCTTGCACTATACTTAGGTAATGCTTGCACTATACGTAGGTAATGATTGCACTGTACTTAGGTAATGCTTGCACTGTACTTAGGTAATGATTGCACTGTACTTAGGTAATGCTTGCACTGTACTTAGGTAATGCTTGCACTGTACTTAGGTAATGCTTGCACTATACGTAGGTAATGCTTGCACTATACTTAGGTAATGCTTGCACTATACTTAGGTAATGCTTGCACTATACGTAGGTAATGATTGCACTGTACTTAGGTAATGCTTGCACTGTACTTAGGTAATGATTGTACTATACTTAGGTAATGCTTGCACTATACGTAGGTAATGCTTGCACTATACTTAGGTAATGCTTGCAGTACAGTGCAAAAAGTAATGCTTGCACTGTACTTAGGTAATACTTGCACTGTAAACGTATATATACAAGTCAATAGAACAGAGATATCCCAAAGTTATGATAAAGTAGTTACTAATCAGCCGGAACTGGTCACATTCTCAGAGATGAGTTGCATGGTATCAACGGTATGGTCAATGTATGATCGCTGGTCAAGTTCATCGAATATTCGCCAAAGGAAATGGAAGATTCAAATGAAAATATACTACGTTGTATGCTTGTGGACAACATATGTAATCTTCACGTCCATTTCAATGAACATCAACCTTTACGCTTCTTTATTTTTAGAGTGATCCAGAATTATGTGGTGTGGAGATTTATGCGCAAACAGGTGACGGCTCTACCACAGGTTTTCCAAACTTATGAACAGGAATTCAAAGAGGTTAGTATTCACTACAGACAATATTCCCTTATACCTGTTCCATTAGTCCGTCATACATACCCTTTAGTAAATATATCCAATATATATATTTGGCAAGTCTAGATATACTGCAGTCTCTGAAAATGATGAAAGTCTGTCGGCTCCTTTATATTATAAGTTATCAAGATAATTTAACAACTGGTTTTTTTCTGAGAAATGTGTTCAATTCAGAGGCTAGATGTTTGTTAACCTGTTCATGTCCAGCTTGACTTTATAATTAAGCTTAAATGTTAAACCATGTAGGTGAGGAATTCGAAATGTCTGTCATTTATTATAACGTTGTTGCATTATACCACGTGTAGGTAGTCATTGGCGTGACGTCACTTCCTCCCCGCTGGCACAGCTGCTTGCAAGTCGTAGATAGTTTCATGCCCTATGTAGTCGGACGGATGTTTGTACAAGAACACTTTCTGCCCACCTCCAAGAATGATGTACGTTGTGCCCACAAATGGGACCATAATTTCTGCGTTATCCTAGCGTATTGCTTGTTTCCACCTTAATAAGTTTATCTTCTTAATTCCATGTTATTCATATGTAGTCAAATTAATGGTTGATAATGTGTGATGCTTTCAGAAGTAGGTTTTGCTCATTTGCGCATTTGCTGAGACACGTGCCTTGAAAATATGAAATATCCCTAACATTACTGTGATATCAAATCATCCACCATTCCCTGAACGTGATGATGTACACCGTAGGTCACCGAGGCAATACGGTACGTGAAAGATGCCTTCAGACAGAGACTAGACGACATCACATGGATGGACGAACAAACAAAAGACTTAGCTAGAGACAAGGTAGGTTTGCTCCCAGATATCACGATATATTCCACTGTGTGGTATATGATTGGATGTTATAACCATTCGGTTTAATGTTTGAGATAAGGGGGAACTATTCAGTATATGGTTTTACAAAGAAATGGATGCGTGACTCTATACATTTGTACCTAGAGCTACAGGTGTGAGGACATGCAAAGTTTTTCACATTTGCACAGAGCATATTTGTATCTGTTGTTTCTAGTTGGCAAGTATGACGAGCAAGATCGGATATCCTGACGAGTTGTATAACACCACCTACCTGGACAACATGTACCCAGTAAGTCAACTCCAAATGTCACTCTTCCCGATATAAGATGGCCCCTGGTTCATATAGGCGATAATGTAACACAACTTTGAGCAGAACTTATTTGGTAATATTTTATCGGATAAACTTGATGTCATGTTTTATATTTGACAAACTAGATGTGACGTTTTATTAAATGAATGGATAAGTGAATAACGTAATGTCACTAAACTACAAGTATATTCTATTTGTAATACAGAAGATGTCATACATGTCATGAAATAATTAAGTGGCACATTCCTCTCGTTGTGCACTAGTTGAAGTTAAATCACAAGATAGCCCATCCATGAGGTACACTAGATGGATTATTCCATGTGTAATACACTAAATGTCACATCCATGAGGTACGTTTGGTGATAAATTCCATATGTAATACACTAAATGTCACATCCATGAGGTACATTTGATGATACATTCCATATGTCATACACTAAATGTCACATCCATGAGGTACACTTGATGATACAATCCATATGTAATACACTAAATGTCACATCCATGAGGTACACTTGGTGATACATTCCATATGTAATACACTAAATGTCTCATCCATGAGGTACGCTTGATGATAAATTACATATGTAATACACTAAATGTGTCATCCATGAGGAACACTTGATGATACATTCCATATGTAATACACTTAATGTGTCATCCACGAGGAACACTTGATGATACATTCCATATGTAATACACTAAATGTCACATCCATGAGGTACGCTTGATGATAAATTCCATATGTAATACACTAAATGTCACATCCATGAGGTACACTTGATGATACATTCCATATGTCATACACTAAATGTCTCATCAATGAGGTACGCTTGATGATACATTCCATACGTAATACATCAAATGTCACATCCACGAGGTACACTTGATGATACATTCCATATGTAATACACTAAATGTCACATCCATGAAATACGCTTGATGATACATTCCATATGTAATACACAAAATGTCACATCCATGAGGTACACTTGATGATACATTCCATATGTAATACACTAAATGTCACATCCATGAGGTACACTTGATGATACATTCCATATGTAATACACTAAATGTCACATCCATGAGGTACACTTGATGATACATTCCATATGTAATACACTTAATGTCACATCCATGAGGTAAACTAGATGGACCATTCCATATGTGACACACAAAGATGGCACATCCCATAATATACAAGGAGCATGTTCAATAATTGAACCATTAGACGACTCATTTCAAATGACAAAAGACGCATAATGCATATGCGGAATATTAGTTACAGATTAAACATATTAATGATTGTATACATAGAAATAGTCCTGAGTCTACAACTATACTTTTATTAGTGTTGTCGTTCTCCCACCCACAGTTTGAAGTCGAGGAGGGAGAATATTTCAAGAATGTTGCATCTTGGAAGAGGATGCGAACAGCGATGGAATGGCGGAAACTGCTGAAACCATCTGACAAGTCATTGTAAGTAACGGAGGAATACCCAGTAGGACCAGGTACAGGGGTATTCAGTCATGCTCCTCAACCAGGACAATAATGGGGCAGGATGCACTAACCTTTGCAAGAACAGCTGGTGTTTGATAGTGATTCATAAATACAATCGACAAAAACATGAAAATTCAGCTAATGACACATTTAACTTATAAATCATTGTAACCATTATAGTAACATGTTTGTGTGACCGGGTTCGAATCCCCGCATACGAACAATATGTGTCCATATGTGAGGCGTTAAACTTCATTCGCTCACTCAGTCAATAACTCACATCCTCACTCATGTTAACCTGAATGTTATATATCATTAACAGATGGATGATGTCTCCGGCGGTAGTGAATGCTTACTACAATCCGTCCAGCAATGAAATGGGTAGGCGTAATATGTTTACCACATCTTACAGTAGATCTATATTTATGACCTCATATTAATTTTACTATTTTTGAAGTATTTGACAGGTTGCGGACCAGTTCATCGAATTGTCCCCAAACATTACAACTGCGACACTGAATAACGGATAGCAACCGGGACATCGAATTGTCCCCAAACATTAGAACTCCGACACTAAATAACGGATAGCAACCGGGATATCGAATTGTCCCCAAACATTAGAACTCCGACACTAAATAACGGATAGCAACCGGGATATCGAATTGTCCCCAAACATTAGAACTCCGACACTAAATAACGGATAGCAACCGGGATATCGAATTGTCCCCAAACATTAGAACTCCGACACTGAATAACTGTTAGTAACCGGGACATCGAATTGTCCCCAAACATTACAACTGCGACACTGAATAACGGTTAGGAACAGGGACATCGAATTGTCCCCAAACGTTAGAACTGCGACACTGAATAACGGTTAGGAACCGGGACATCGAATTGTCCCTAAACATTAGAATTGCGACACTGAATAACTGTTAGGAACCGGGACATCGAATTGTCCCCAAACGTTAGAACTGCGACACTGAATAACGGTTAGGAACCGGGACATCGAATTGTCCCCAAACATTACAACTGCGACACTGAATAACTGTTAGTAACCGGGACATCGAATTGTCCCCAAACATTACAACTGCGACACTGAATAACGGTTAGGAACAGGGACATCGAATTGTCCCCCAACGTTAGAACTGCGACACTGAATAACGGTTAGGAACCGGGACATTGAATTGTCCCTGAACATTACAACTGCGACACTGAATAACGGTTAGGATCCGGGACATCGAATTGTCCCCAAACATTACAACTGCGACACTGAATAACGGTTAGGACATCGAATTGTTAGAATCACTGAAGCAAGTAAGAACTTTGACTGCAGGCTCTTGGAATAACGGACACGTACGACTGCAGGACTTTAAGATTTGCAAGTAAAGAGCTTATAAGATTTTATTGTTTTTAATATCTGTTGGAAGAAGACAATTTGTGAGTTAACTGAGCAGTTAATCTTAGAAGTAAATAAAGACTGAAGAGCCGCACGCCAACCTCTGACTTGGGAGTACTGTTACACAACTGCAAAGGGCTAAGAGTTGAGCTCGACCTTCAAGGTGATAGGAATTTATGTACGGCGTCGCCGAAGGCGAAAGACTACTTCACCACCGACATGTATGTGTGGATAATACCTTCAACACATCTCCCCATCTCTTTGATAATACATGGCGATCTACAAGGTAAAGTTTTTTCTCTCGTCTACTGTCTACAACCAAGCAGCCGTGGCGAGACATAGGTCCGTGTGTGTGAATATACTCAATTAGCTGCTCAAAACCTAGGATTTCACCTCAACCCTGCTGTATTGCAGTTAGACTTGCAGTGGGTAACGTGTTCCCAAACACGAACACTCGTGGGTGTTTTGGCCATGATACATTCCCTGGGCCAGAAAGGACACCCAAGGTACGAGGTGGTTCGGGAGAGCATCTGAAACTTGTTCAGCTGAAAGACCTTTGGGCGCACCTCATAGGAAACGCAGATACGTCAACATCGATGCCAGAATCTGTGTCCTGAAGGAAGATCTTATGAATTATGGAGTACACAGACCATGTATCCGAGTTGATACATCTCGAGTAAATTAATGTGGTGCTGCTACGGACAAAGTTAGATCAAAATGACATCAAAATGAGATCACATTTAGATCAAAATGACATAAAAAAGACATCGCGTGTTGTATATTATATGTAATTCAATACTACCCTTTTGAACAAAATAGAATAGATTTTAGTGACGTGGAGATCATGGCCGATGTCAATGTACAATGTACATATTCAATACTGCCTGCTATAACCGGTGTCCATGCTGTACGAGTTTACTCTTGTTGTTTTGACCAGATCTCGATACCTGGACTTCAAATTACCAGATTCACTCAACCACAGCAGGTACCTGGATGTAGAAATACTTTTCCCACACCACATGTGGTACAGACATTCGATGTCATGGCCTATGATCTTTGACTACAAGCAATTCAAGTTTCAGAGACTTGTTAGATGATGTATGTAGCTGTATGTTTGTATTGCAGTCATCATGGCTGCCCTGCTACAGCCGCCCCTCTTCTCCCCGGGGCTCCCCAAGTAAGTTTCCTTCACGTTAGTAAATCGCTCCTTGTTTTATCTTCCAAAGTTTGTGGTGTGGTTTTCGCAGGGAGGTAGTTTGTCTCCCTAAGTTAGTGATGTTTATTAAACGGAAGTGTTGCCACTTCGTAAGTAAGTATACTTTTGTATGTACCCTTTCCACAAAGTGATCTTCGAGTTAAGATGATGGTAACTTCCATACTTACCACAGTCGAAGTGTTCAGATCGTTTTGAGGGACGGGGCCTGGGTGCCGTTGTACAAAGGGACTAAGCACAAAGGTGATCGTAACTCCTATACTTTACCATATCATCGTAGCGCTGTAGTTGTTTTGTACAACGGCATCCAGATCGTCCTTAGTAACAAGTCTGCATTGCTAAGTAAGCAGGTTGTCTCCCCAAGTACCACGTCACCGGAAGTTGGATATTTGTCTCTCTACGAATATGTATTTTCGTTTACAGAATCGCGTAAGAAGTTTTCCCCTGTGAATTGTCAGGACGGACAGTGGTGTAGCAAACGCAACCAAAAGACAACCTGGAAACAAATGACCTTTTCCCTTTCAATATGAACCATTTACCAGAAGAAACACTATCAGGGTGATATTTGCTCCCACTGTTTCAGGTATGTGAACTACGGGGCCTATGTCGCGAGTGTATTGGGACACGAGTTGACCCACGGCTTCGACGACGTAGGTAGGACGACTTCATGGTCTAAGCATGTTTCCCATGTACCGCTATCTCCACTGTAACGTCCTTGTGGAGTAGGGGTGGTAGCCACTCAAGTAGGAGACATATATGTTCGACCCTTACCCATCAACCTTCCTGCTCTCTGGAGACACCAGAGCTACATCTTTGTTTTATTTCGGCAGTCCAGTAATTATGTTTCCCTTTGGGAATATTGTGAAATAAGTGACTTATTCTTGTTTTCGAAAGGTCGGCTGTTCGACAAGAATGGCAACCTCGTTGAGTGGTGGAGTACTGATGTCATAAAAGCCTTTAAAGATAAAGCTCAGTGTTTCATAGACCAGTACTCTCAGTACCACGAGGCTTCAGTCAACGTGTCGGTAAGTAGTAAGCATGAACAAGAAAAGCAAATCCTAGGGAAAATAAATATGTCTCATTGGCAATGAAAGGTTTAATGTAGATTTTATTTCCTGAGCAAGTACATTATTTGAATCTATTACCGTTTGCATATGAAGTTCTATTATCATTATTCGAGGTGAAAACGTTAGCTCCATCCGACAAAATAGGTGTTAATTGTTTCAATGACAACAAATACAAATGGTTTTGGTTAATAATGAGCTTTGATCTTGTTTATGCTTTGAGCTACTACTTTGATGAAGAACGTTAGACATAGTGTATCTCAAGTGTCTGTTACATTCCATTCTCACTGACTGTAACATACTTTCTTACCACGCATTATGTCAAAACGATAGGCAAGAGCTAAAGGAGAGCTACACGAGAGCTAAATATCTAGTATGTAAAATGGCCATGAAGTAAATGTGTGGTTTTCAAGGAGACACAAACCTCCCATGTTTTCTATTGGAAGGTTCAGAATGTAGGTTCGATGCCTGTAAATTTCATTCAAATACGTGAGGTTTCCAATTTGAAACCTATGTGTCAACCAGCATTGTGAGAGAGTACCGCTGTGTCTTGAAGGTGAACGGGATCAACACGCAAGGTGAAAACATTGCTGACTGTGGTGGAGTAAAGCAGGCTTATCGGGTTTGTGTGCTTAAAACAACTAAGAGCGACTAGTGAATGAGTGAGTGAATGAACGCCTCAGTCTGCAATATTCCAGCTCTTCCATGGCGCCCTGTATCCACGTAAGTAATTAGCCACGTCACAGAGCCTGTTTAGTTGCCGACGATTTGACATTTTCTGTGGGGGCAGGTTTGGGGTGGCGCTGGGGCTGACTTGTTATAACCTGTTCCCGAAAATACTGCAAAGATTCTGTGTTTTGGCCCCACACCCGCATTTCAGAGGTTAAAGTGTATGTTTGCAAGCGGTGACTGAACAATTCATCTGCCACTAACTCCCAACCCCCCAAACCCCAACACCCAACACCCTAAAACAAGACCTCAAACACACAATTCCCGACCCCAAACATCCCAACTCCCGACCCTCAACACCCTAACTCCCCAACAGCCAACCTACAACACCCCAACACCCCAACACCTCAATTCCCGACCCCCAACTCCCCAACATCCCAACACCCGACCTCAAACATCCCAATTCCCGACCCACAACACCCCAGCACCCAAACACCCGACCCCCAACACCTCAATTCCCGACTCCCAACGCCGCAACTCCCAAAGAGCCAACCCCCAACACCCCAACTCCCGACCTCCAACACCCCAATTCCCGACCCCCAACTCCCCAACATCCCAACACCCGACCTCAAACATCCCAATTCCCGACCCACAACACCCCAGCACCCAAACACCCGACCCCCAACACCTCTATTCCCGACTCCCAACGCCGCAACTCCCAAAGAGCCAACCCCCAACACCCCAACTCCCGACCTCCAACACCCCAATTCCCGACCCCCAACTCCCCAACATCCCAACACCCGACCTCAAACACCCCAATTCCCGACCCACAACACCCCAGCACCCAAACACCCGACCCCCAACACCTCAATTCCCGACCCCCAACGCCGCAACTCCCAAAGAGCCAACCCCCAACACCCAAACTCCCGACCTCCAACACCCCAACTCCCGACCCCCAACACCTAAATTCCCGATCACAAACATCCATACTCCTCAACTCAGCATCAAATGCCATTACTTAATTAGTTAGAATGAATCTCAGAATTAGTTCTGCTGTAAGTTGCAGTCTGGTAATTTATAGTTTGCTCAAATTGAGCTAATCAAATGGCACACCAAGGTGAATACGTTACAAATTTCATATTGTAGACATTTCTGTAGTGTTGTGTTTTTATATGACGTAATAATACATGTGTTTAAAGCAAAATAAGTTTGAATTACTAACATCCAAAATGAGAAGCAGAATCAACATAAGAAATGTGTTGAAAAGTTGGAGAACTCAAACGTGGCATTTGTGATTTTTAACGGGTGAGACCTGGGACTACGTGTCAGTGTGATTGTGCTGACATTTTCATTACCACACTATGAACTCGCCTTCCGTTGTTGCGGGTTTACAAAATGTGTAAGACAATGTGCCTGTATCAATATTATAACTATTATACGTACATCTCATTAATTCCTCCCGTAAATACAATAAAAACACAAGTCGATATATTTTCGTGACGCAGGCATATCGCAATCTTGTCGGAGATCTGCAGGCCGAAGAGCCGCTCCTGCCTTATCTTGGCCTCAGTCAGGACCAGGCCTTCTTCATCAGCTATGCCCAGGTAACACGGGGAGCCCGCCGTGGCTGGAGAACGTTTTGTGTAGACTATTTCTACATATCAAACCAATAGTCCGTGTCTCTCAGCAGCTGGGAATTGATCTATTAATCTGTCTTTGGGATTTTCCAATGCTTCGTCTTAAGGACGTTAGTGATGTCGATCAGATGACTGCGTGTATGTAAAGACCACCTCATAAACGATTCTGGTTGAGAATGAATAATACGTTATTACGTAAAGTGGGATATAAGCGTTGCCGCTTTCGCGTTGAGGTGAGTAGAGGGAGAATGATAGTACCGTGTGCATCGCATGCAAGGGTAAAATAATTCATAAAAAGCTACAGGTACATATATTCATTCCATTTTGTTTTTCAAATAATATACAGGTATTACGAAACAGGGTTGTTAACATCTACTGAGAGAAACAGTTATCTTTACAGAAAAAGGTACTTCTATGACTTCTATGTCGTTGAGATAGATAAATTATATAATACCCTAACTCCTCGTTGTGAAGTAAGCAGCTATATTATGTCCTGGTGTTTGTACAGTCGTGGTGCGCCAGTTACAGGAAGGAGGGACTGGAGGCTACCATCAGGGGGGATGTCCACAGTCCCAACATGTACAGGTAACTCACACCACCTGCATGGTACATAACTGTATACTCCAGCATGTAGCATCGTCGGTGTGCTCTTCTCCCTCTTACTTCATAAAAACCCATTGAACACTTTTCATGTTTGTGAGCGGACGTCAGTTTTTTATTTCATTTTCAGGTCTCATATGTGTTTATTTTTCACGTCGTTTTCGAATATATCGACGTGTAACGAGTTTGCATATTCCGTTTCAGAATCATTGGCGCGTGTCAAAACTCTTTTGAGTTTGCGGAAGCCTTTCGTTGCCCAGTTGGAAGTTACATGAACCCGCCCACAAAGTGTGAACTGTGGTAGTTATGTGTCTACACGACGTGTAGTGAACTGTGGTAGTTATGTGTCTACACGACGTGTAGTGAACTGTGGTAGTTATGTGTCTACACGACGTGTTGTGAACTGTGGTAGTTATGGGTCTACACGACGTGTAGTGAACTGTGGTAGTTATGGGTCTACACGACGTGTATTGAACTGTGGTAGTTATGTGTCTACACGACGTGTATTGAACTGTGGTAGTTATGTGTCTACACGACTTGTAGTGAACTGTGGTAGTTATGTGTCTACACGACTTGTAGCGAACTGTGGCAGTTATGTGTCTACACGACTTGTAGTGAACTGTGGTAGTTATCTGTCTGCACGACGTGTAGTGAACTGTGGTAGTTATGTGTCTACACGACTTGTAGTGAACTGTGGTAGTTATGTGTCTGCACGACGTGTAGTGAACTGTGGTAGTTATGTGTCTACGCGACGTGTAGTGAACTGTGGTAGTTGTGGGTCTACACGACTTGTAGTGAACTGTGGTAGTTATGTGTCTACACGACGTGTAGTGAACTGTGGTAGTTGTGGGTCTACACGACTTGTAGTGAACTGTGGTAGTTATGTGTCTGCACGACTTGTAGTGAACTGTGGTAGTTATGTGTCTACGCGACGTGTAGTGAACTGTGGTAGTTATCTGTCTGCACGACTTGTAGTGAACTGTGGTAGTTATCTGTCTGCACGACGTGTAGTGAACTGTGGTAGTTATGTGTCTACACGACTTGTTGTGAACTGTGGTAGTTATGGGTCTACACGACCTGTTGTGAACTGTGGTAGTTATGGGTCTACACGACTTGTAGTGAACTGTGGTAGTTATGGGTCTATACGACTTGTAGTGAACTGTGGTAGTTATGTGTCTACGCGACTTGTAGTGAACTGTGGTAGTTATGTGTCTACACGACGTGTAGTGAACTGTGGTAGTTATGTGTCTACACGACTTGTAGTGAACTGTGGTAGTTGTGTGTCTACACGACGTGTAGTGAACTGTGGTAGTTATGTGTCTACACGACTTGTAGTGAACTGTGGTAGTTGTGTGTCTACACGACTTGTAGTGAACTGTGGTAGTTGTGTGTCTACACGACTTGTAGTGAACTGTGGTAGTTATGTGTCTACACGACTTGTAGTGAACTGTGGTAGTTGTGTGTCTACACGACTTGTAGTGAACTGTGGTAGTTGTGTGTCTACACGACTTGTAGTGAACTGTGGTAGTTGTGGGTCTACACGACGTGTAGTGAACTGTGGTAGTTATGTGTCTACACGACGTGTAGTGAACTGTGGTAGTTGTGGGTCTACACGACGTGTAGTGAACTGTGGTAGTTGTGTGTCTACACGACTTGTAGTGAACTGTGGTAGTTATGTGTCTACACGACTTGTAGTGAACTGTGGTAGTTGTGTGTCTACACGACTTGTAGTGAACTATGGTAGTTATGTGTCTACACGACTTGTAGTGAACTGTGGTAGTTGTGTGTCTACGCGACTTGTAGTGAACTGTGGTAGTTGTGTGTCTACGCGACTTGTAGTGAACTGTGGTAGTTATGTGTCTACACGACTTGTAGTGAACTGTGGTAGTTATGTGTCTGCACGACGTGTAGTGAACTGTGGTAGTTATGTGTCTACACGACGTGTAGTGAACTGTGGTAGTTATGAGTCTACACGACGTGTAGTGAACTGTGGTAGTTATGTGTCTACGCGACGTGTAGTGAAGTGTCGTAGTTATGTGTCTACACGACGTGTAGTGAACTGTGGTAGTTATGAGTCTACACGACGTGTAGTGAACTGTGGTAGTTATGTGTCTACGCGACGTGTAGTGAAGTGTCGTAGTTATGTGTCTACACGACGTGTAGTGAACTGTGGTAGTTATGTGTCTACACGACTTGTAGTGAACTGTGGTAGTTGTGTGTCTACACGACTTGTAGTGAACTATGGTAGTTATGTGTCTACACGACTTGTAGTGAACTGTGGTAGTTGTGTGTCTACGCGACTTGTAGTGAACTGTGGTAGTTGTGTGTCTACACGACTTGTAGTGAACTGTGGTAGTTATGTGTCTACACGAGTTGTAGTGAACTGTGGTAGTTGTGTGTCTACACGACTTGTAGTGAGCTGTGGTAGTTATGGGTCTACACGACGTGTAGTGAACTGTGGTAGTTGTGTGTCTACACGACGTGTAGTGAACTGTGATAGTTATGGGTCTACACGACGTGTAGTGAACTGTGGTAGTTATGTGTCTACACGACGTGTAGTGAACTGTGATAGGTGTTTGTCCACACGATTTGTAGTGAACTGTGGTAGTTGTGGGTCTACACGACGTGTAGTGAACTGTGGTAGTTATGTGTCTACACAACGTGTTGTGAACTGTGGTAGTTATGTGTCTACACGACGTGTAGTGAACTGTGGTAGTTATGTGTCTACACGACGTGTTGTGAACTGTGGTAGTTATGTGTCTACACGACGTGTAGTGAACTGTGGTAGTTATGTGTCCACACGAGTTGTAGCGAACTGTGGTAGTTGTTTGTCTACGCGACTTGTAGTGAACTGTGGTAGTTATGAGTCTACACGACTTGTAGTGAACTGTGGTAGTTATGTGTCTACACGACGTGTAGTGAACTGTGGTAGTTATGTGTCTACACGACGTGTAGTGAAATGTGGTAGTTATGTGTCTACACGACTTGTTGTGAACTGTGGTAGTTATGTGTCTACACGACGTGTTGTGAACTGTGGTAGTTATGTGTCTACACGACGTGTAGTGAACTGTGGTAGTTATGTGTCTACACGACGTGTAGTGAAATGTGGTAGTTATGTGTCTACACGACTTGTTGTGAACTGTGGTAGTTATGTGTCTACACGACGTGTTGTGAACTGTGGTAGTTATGTGTCTACACGACTTGTAGTGAACTGTGGTAGTTATGTGTCTACACAACGTGTTGTAAACTTTGGTAGTAATGGGTCTACACGACTTGTAGTGAACTGTGGTAGTTATGTGTCCACACGAGTTGTAGCGAACTGTGGTAGTTGTTTGTCTACGCGACTTGTAGTGAACTGTGGTAGTTATGAGTCTACACGACTTGTAGTGAACTGTGGTAGTTGTGTGTCTACACGACTTGTCGTGAACTGTGGTAGTTATGTGTCTACACGACGTGTATTGAACTGTGGTAGTTGTTTGTCTACGCGACTTGTAGTGAACTGTGGTAGTTATGAGTCTACACGACTTGTAGTGATCTGTGGTAGTTGTGTGTCTACACGACTTGTAGTGAACTGTGGTAGTTATGTGTCTACACGACGTGTAGTGAACTGTGGTAGTTATGAGTCTACACGACTTGTAGTGAACTGTGGTAGTTATGGGTCTACACGACGTGTAGTGAACTGTGGTAGTTGTGTGTCTACACGACGTGTAGTGAACTGTGGTAGTTATGAGTCTACACGACTTGTAGTGAACTGTGGTAGTTATGGGTCTACACGACGTGTAGTGAACTGTGGTAGTTGTGGGTCTACACGACGTGTAGTGAACTGTGGTAGTTATGTGTCTACACGACGTGTATTGAACTGTGGTAGTTATGTGTCTACACAACGTGTTGTAAACTTTGGTAGTAATGGGTCTACACGACTTGTAGTGAACTGTGGTAGTTATGTGTCCACACGAGTTGTAGCGAACTGTGGTAGTTGTTTGTCTACGCGACTTGTAGTGAACTGTGGTAGTTATGAGTCTACACGACTTGTAGTGAACTGTGGTAGTTGTGTGTCTACACGACTTGTAGTGAACTGTGGTAGTTATGGGTCTACACGACGTGTAGTGAACTTAGGTAGTTATGAGTCTACACGACTTGTAGTGAACTGTGGTAGTTGTGTGTCTACACGACTTGTAGTTAACTGTGGTAGTTATGTGTCTACACGACTTGTAGTGAACTGTGGTAGTTATGGGTCTACACGACTTGTCGTGAACTGTGGTAGTTATGTGTCTACACGACTTGTCGTGAACTGTGGTAGAATAATGATGACTTGTCCGGTAACAGCAACATCACATGTAAACGTTTCGTGGTCACTCAGGACATAATTGATGTGTTTTGATAGCATTACATTAACGAAAATCATTTCATTCCGAGTATATTTGAAATTATTTTAGCACAAGTGATTACCATGCAATAAAAATGAGAATGAGACGTGACATGTCTTATTGTTGTAACCCCGCCGTGATATTGCTGGAATATTGCTAAAAGCGGCGTAAAACCATACTCACTCACTCACTATTGTTGTAACGTGTAGGACATTTACATGTGCCAGTTATTACAGTTTATCTGTATCAATGAAGAAATCAACACATCTTAGTAAAAGCTCCAGGATATCAAACAGCGCTGATTGTAGCATATCGAATTCCAGTTCCACTTGTTATTGCTCATCGAAAGACTGCGAGGACAGTGGTCAGTTGGATCAGCGAGTGTTAGGTCACATTCCTAACGCTGTGGGTAGTGTGAATGCGGAGACTGCTCAGTCCTCCAAAAAAGGAGTGCAACTCAAATCTAGAATGATTTGGCAAGTCTCGATTGCCTCAGCTCTAGTAAATTAAGGATTTTAGGCGCTATTCGGATTATATATTTTTTTGTATAGAAGTAGTAGTAGTAGTAGTAGTAGTAGTAGTAGTAGTAGTAGTAGTGTCATCATCCATCAATCCATCATCTTCCAATAATCCGTCATCATCCATCAGTCCATCATCATCCATCCATCCGCTCATCCATCCATCCATCATCATCATCATCCATCCATCCGTCATTATCAATTAATTCGTCATCATCCATCAATCCATCATCCATCCATTTATCCATTCACCCATCCATCCTCATCGATCCATCCATCCATTTATCAATCCATCCATCCATCCGTCATCATCCATCAATCCATCATCCATCATCATCATTCATCCATCCATCCATCATTCAGCCATCATCCTTCATCATCCGTCCATCCATCCATCCACCATCATACATACATCCAACCATTTATTCATCCGTCATCCATCAATCCGTCATCATCCATCAATCCATCATCAATCCATTTATCCATCCATCCATCATCCATCCATCATCAATATATCATCATCCATCCATTAATCATCATCATCATTCATCCATCATCATTTATCCATCAGCCATCATCATCCATCCATTCATCCATCATCCATCCATCATCAACATTCATCATCATCATTTATCCATCAGCCATCATCATCCATCCATTCATCATCATCCATCCATCATCAACACTCATCATCATTTATCCATCATCCATCCATCCATCAATCAATCCATCCATCCATCATCACTCCATCCATCACCTTTCAATCATTAATCCATCCATCATCCATCCATTCATCAATCTATCCGTCATTTTTCATCCATCATCATCATCATTCATCGTACATCCGTCATCATCATTCATCCATCATCCATCATTTTTTATCCATCATCCATCATCATCTTTCATCCATCATCCATCCATCCATCAATTCATCAATGATCCATCCCTCATCCATCCATCCATCCGTCATTATTCATCAATCATCCATCATCATCTTTCATCCATCATCCTTCCATCCATCAATCCATCATCCATCCATCTGTCATTATTCATCCATCATCCATCATCATCCATCATCATCCATCATCATCATCATCCATCATCATCATCCATTCATCATCCATCCATCATCAATAATCATCATCCATCAACATCATCCATTCATCATCCATCCATCATCAATAATCATCATCCATCCATCCGTCATTATTCATCCATCATCATCGTTCGTCCATCATTCATCAATCCATCGTCATCCATCCATCATCCATCAATCCATCGTCATCCATCCATCATCAATCCATTTTCATCCATCATCCATCCATCGTCATCATTCACCCATCATCCATTCATCATCCATCCATCCATTCATCATACATCCGTCATCACTCATTCATCCATCATCCATTCATCATCCATTCATCATCCATCCATCCATCCATCATCAACCCATCCATCATCATCATCTGAACGTCTGAACTAATACACGTCAGATTATATTTACACACGGTAGGATAAATTCAGTTGGGATTTTGATTTAATTGATCAGAAAGGGTTGATTTTATGTCCGATTTAGTAACAGAGGTGTTACGGTCTTTATTTCTAGTGACCGTGGGGCGTAATGTCTCTCCAACATATGTGTCCTCACTATCACGTAACCACATGAGGCATGAAACGTCCCGATAAACAATAAAGAAATCGTTAGTTTAGTTCAAACATATTTTATTCTCATAAAAAGGATTGGGCACAAGTTATCACAACTTAGAACGCCCTCTCCCATGGACTTACATGCATGCTTATTTACAATCAATAAATTAAATAGCAGAAAGGAAAGAAAAGAAAAGTACATTCACATTGCTCACTCATGTGTCGTCATCGGGGAAATGGTCGTATCATATTGATCCAATTATTAAAACAACATCAAAGATGATTCATTCAATGAGAAAGCTTAAGTTTATACTCAGTCGTAGTGTGTTGGACAAGATTTATGTGATGTTTCTTAGACCACATTTTGAATATGCATGTGAAGGTTGGGACGGTTGTACCAAAGAGCAGAGTGACAGATGAGAAAACTCCAACTGGAAGCAGCAAGAATTGTAACTGGTTTTACCAAGCTATACTTAATTTATATTTCGAAACTTCCTGGGCTGGGAGCCCTTATCAGAGAGCAGGAGAAAACGTAAATTGTGTTTATTTTATAAAATTTATAACAATATGACACCTTCATACCTTAAAGATCTAGTACCTCACTCTGTCGGTACAAACATAACACACAACCTCAGAACTGCTCATAATATAACTAAGCCTTCATTACGTACTAAGTTATCTGAATCCTCGTTTGTACCAACCTCTATTAAATTGTGGAATACATTACCTATTCAGCAAAGGAATATTAAAACCTTCCCTTAAATCAAGTTGAAGAAAAGATAAATCTGATCAGATAAATAGTTGCATCATATTTCTCATAAGGTCCAAGGAAAGTTAACATAATACATACACAATAATGACATGATGATAGTGAAATAGAAATCGTTATCTACAACTGGTTTCATATCTGCATGCTCAACAACCTTCCAAATACCAAACAAAGACTTTTTAACTGAGTGTGCTTATAAAATCTATTCCTGAGGTAACACTTCAATAGACATTGTTCCGAGTTACTAAACTGTGTCTATTTACACATTATGTTCCCCTTTGTTTTCAAGGGAGGGAGTGAATCTCTATGACATCGCCTTTTTAACCTGATACAATGCATATAAAATTAGTTGTTTGGTGTCGGTGGAACCCCGAAGTGGCTCAGGTCTCAGACGTTTTCGACTTGACTCAGAGCGCGGTGTGATACTGTGCAACCAGTGATCCTTTTAGGACAAAACATAATCAGTGCGAGACTTGGATTCTAATGCACGAGGCATAGGTTTCTGAGAAGCCAAGAGACGCAAAATCTGCAATATAAAACAGTTATATGTATTTGAGACTAATCATGTTAAAACAGTTACCTTATGTGACCAACATTCTAAAATACAGTTATGTCTTATAATTGATCAATAATGTTAAAACATATATACTAGTATATATCAGTACATACTTACATCTGGCATTTGGACGGCATGGTGGCAAATGGTCCTGTGCAAAGTGCACAGCTTTAAAGCGCAGCTTGACTGGGAATTTCTAGGGCCTAAGCCCTGCTCTGCAATGAAACACAGTTAGCATATGTGGCGTCTCCATAGGCAAGTGACTTTGTTCGAAATGTGCCCCTTACCAGTGACTTGGTACCCGGTAGGATGACATGGTAATGTGGCAGTTAACATTCTAGGGCCTCACAGGCAGCTTGGGTCGTGTCAGGTGGTGTTAGATGGTATTTTGCGCGAATTGTTGCCAATTCTATACTAATTCTATGTGCCGTAAAGTATCTCAATATATGAGTATGACTCATAAGCCGTGACGTCTTTAAGCGTATTGCTGTTGACGTATTAGCTGGCCCCGTCTACATTTTAAGTGCAGCCGTGATAGATAAAATCTACAAATCACTTCCATGTTCATCAGAAATCTCTGCCAAAAGCAGAGTTGGGTGCATCACTCCCGACTATATCATGAACGTGTGTTTATGAATCACTATCAAATAGTGATGATACCAGGTGTTCGCGAAAAGGTGAACGTATCCTGCCCCACCGGTGGCACCCGTCACAAACATTTGCAAGGTCATTCCCTGCCGCCAACCGAAATATGACTTATCTTCAGCGTATAAATACTTATCTCGTAATAACGACCTTCATCTTGTGACCTCGTTCAAAGATCAAAGCTATCTTATTACTATTTTTAGTAATATCAACGTGGACAATGCGTGCTATACATATGTTTGATCTAGTTCTGTAAAAAGCATGCAGCAAATGTTGTGTTCTCATATGCTGTCTTTCATCAAAGTCTTAATTAACACAAGACATGGTTCTGAGCCAAATAATGTAAATAACACATCCAAATGAAGAACATGAACACATGTGTATACTCAAACACAAAATAAACGGTACATGTGAAAAAATAATGTAACTGGTAACTCAAACCTTATAACAGTTATCGTGATTTTGACAACATGGCGTTTCTCATAATTTAGAAAATATGCATATGCCATATGTACAAAGATATGGGCATTTTCATTTTATGTTTTCTCATATGATGTTATATCTAAGTGAACACTTGATCAAAACTAATTCAGGGCCCATTTTCACAAAACAACCGTAGCGCTTAGGTGATCGTAAGTCGTAAGAATTAAACCTTGGACCTTTAAAGTTCTGACACAACCGTGACTTACTAAGCTTGATATTATATACTCAACAACAAAAGTTCCTGTGACACCAATATTTTAGTGTATTTTTCAAACAAGTAAAGTTTGGTTTACAATATTGTAGTACATGTATGGAATCAAGTCACAAAAACGCAACTGCTACATGCATTCCTTGCAAAAGTTAACTTTTATGCAAGCTCCATGCATTTCACTACCCAAGAATGGGTATAAAAACATGTGCGTTAACGGGATTTCATATGCATTGTTAAGCATCGTGCTGACAACAACCACTCAGAAAAACAACAAAATTACGCAATTATGCAACATTACGAAATGCCACGCCTGTCCGAAAATGGGCTTCTGCGAGCCATTGGTATGCTTGAAGCAGGATCGAGACAATTTAACGTCCACAGAAACACCATTTGGTGTATATATCAACGTTGGCAACAGTCGAATGCAGTCAGAGACCATCCTCGGAGTGGCAGGCCACGCGTAACCAATAATCGACAAGACAACTGGATTCGAACAACACACCTACGAAATCGATTCCAGTCAGCAACAATGACTGCAAGAAGCTTCCCTGGCCTTCGACGAATATCTTCACAAACCGTACGTCGTCGCTTCAGGTGTGCAGGGATTGTCGCCAGAAGACCCGCCAGACGTCCTTTTTTGACGGGAAACCACCGTCAAGCACGTGATTTGTTAATTGACATTTTGGCATGTTCATGGTATTTTTTTATGAAATCACGCATTTTCTGAAGTAAGTATGGCAAGTTAAACCATTTGAACACTTAAAGGAGTCTTTTATCTGTTGCACACCGAAAAAACATAACTTTGCATTAAATCTTATTCAATGTCACAGGAACTTTTGTTGTTCAGTATATATGTATTTGTTCAATGTATTTTGTTAATGGGAGTTATTTTATATGTTAAGTCTTATTTTTCGCGAATTTCTATTCATATATACACATGCTCAAAAGTTAAGCGCCACCCACCATATTTGTGAGCTGTTACTTTTGGCACTTAATGATGACTATTATAACGAGATGTACGATTGTTATAAGCCGTATATGTAAACCTCATGTGATGCAAAAGTTGTCCCAAAGCAAGTTTATCTTGTGTTCCAAAAGAATATGAGCGGAAAGGAATTTTACCGAAGACCAGAAATTGAAGGATTAGAAAACATTGGAAAACCTTTTTTGTCATATAACTGTCATGATAGCAGCAGACCATATCAGGTGCCACATAGACACCCTAGGGAGTGCAGAGTCTATTGCAAGACAGAAACGTCAGTAACGTGTGTATGATCCACAGACATTGACCACAGCTTCAACCCTACGCCTCATACTCATTACAAGTCGTTGAATGCTTCTCTGGGGCACGGATCCATTCTTCATGAAGTGCGGCTTCAAGTCCAGCGAGATTTTGAACTGGGGGATCACGATGTCTGATTTTCCGGCCAAGAATGTCCCAGAGATGCTCAATCGGATTAAGATCCGGACTACAGGCCGGCCAAGGAAGAGTGGCAATAGCTTCTTGACGCAAATAAGCCAAAACTGCCCGAGATCTGTGTGGTCTGGCATTGTCGTCAATGTAAACAGGGCTTGTCTGAAGAGGATGGTTGTCAACATGAGGGAATACCACTGGACGAAGAACGGCCTCTTGGTATTGTTAGCCATTCAGGTTTCCACGAATTGTCACCAGCGGAAGTTTGCAGCCGAAGGAAACACAACCCCTTTCCTTGTGGTATCTGGACAAATTTGGGTTCATGAAACTATGGAAGCCTAGTTCAGTCATACATCATCATATTTCGTATTTCTGATTCCCACACGCGAAATCAAGAGACTATGAATATGGTGGCGCTTAACTTTTGTGCATGTGTCTATAACGGTTTCATGAATAAATATTTGAACACAATTCAATCGGTTCTATCTTTCGCATGGTAAATATTATAACACAGTGACACGACTGTTCCAAATTGTTCAAAACGGCGTAAGTAAAAATCGATATTCTATCCTTTACAATTGAAGCAAACAATCAGTTTTTCCCCCTAACTTTTATATATTGTAGTCTTGTAGAGGATTTCGCTCTTCTCGATGTGTGAATAGATCATACAAGCTAGGATTACCCTCATCCAATAGCCATCAATAGTTTAAATTATGTCGGTTGGATTTTAGAGAGAAATTGTATGTGTTCAAGTCAAGATGGTATAATATGTAATTCAAAGACGAAAACATAACAGAATTTCAGGTTTCTTAAGTTTCTTTCAACTGGTGATGTGGAAATCCTCTGAAATTCAAAGTGCCAAAATAGGTATAGTCGATAATATGAACACCAATATACCGTTAATCCTGTTGCATATACTCAGCAAATATGTTCACATTAAAGTTATGTTATTAAACCGATTAACTTAAACATTTACCAAACTTTGAAACCTGCAAATAATATTACAAGTACAATATTCCATACATTGTATTGTCCTATTGACATACTTAAACTGATAAAAAGTGCTCAACCTTCACCTGGTGTTATATTTGATAAGATCTGAGGTCTGTAAAGTTTAACTACAGCGATTTTATTTGCCAACAGAAGGCAAAATGTCTGTTTTGCCAGTTTTCGCTGTTTTGTGTATTTATTGTTTGCAACAAGTGACCCTCCAGACTCCACAGGTTTCCATTAAAGTTGATGTAGAGAAGGTGATCCAGGACATTGATGAGGATGTATTCATGGGGGTCACGCTGGACTGCTACTTGATGCAGGACAATTGGGAAGGATTTGACTTCAGGTAAAGATAACTGTTACTGCAGACACGGTAAAGTAGTCCACGATGATAACGAGCACACTGAATGCGTGACAACGAATGAGCGACTTTGAAATATTGAGAACGAAGTTTATTCCTCCTTCAGACCTCCAGAATTTGGTTGTAAGCTTTTCACAGCGATTTCAGTGCGATTATGGTCGGTGGAGGTCACATTCGATATCGTGTTGTGATTATTTTAAAAGAGTCTCCAGTTTAGGAATTGTCATCAAGGTCTTCCTGATCTCATGATGGAGATATGGTCGATTCAGGACAGAACCAGTAGCCCTAGCCCTTTTACTTGATGGTCTCATACACTAAAGTGTGATGGCCGTCGACGAATTCTGCTCTGTAGTTGTTCCGAAATTACATTTCCAATCAAAATGTTATTCATCTCATATTGAGATGGAAGCAAAATATTTATTTGTCTACAACATAATTATTGGCACAGTGTGTACATTTGATTGTCCGGCTCAAAAGCCTACTCGTGAATTCTTTCTCTAGAAATGGACGTATGTTGAATCTTGCAAAGGGGATCGGTCCATCGTTTCTCCGCATCGGGGGTACGGCATGCGACTCGCTCACCTTTGACCCTAACCGACTCGGAAAGAAACATGTTTCCAAATTGGTTCGCCCGCCCTTTACAACAAATTTCACCATGACAGGTAAACTATTCAGCCTTACGTATTGTCCCGGAAGTACTCGGAGTTATTGATTAATTGATTATTTTTTGTTGTTGATTACATGCCACTGGGTATGTAACTAAACATGCACATTCATTTAACGCTAGGTAGCTAAACTATTCTATGTAAGCATCAGTCAGTATTTTATTACCTCTCCATAAAGCGGAAGACTGGGACAATTTCAACATGTTTGTGAAGAAGGTTGGATGGAAGATGATCTTTGGCATCAACGCCAAGAAACGAGATGGAGCTGAGTGGGATCCATTGAATGCCCTTGTATTGTTGAAGTACACTGCGGACAAAGGGTATCCCATCTATGGATTTGAACTTGGAAACGGTAAGCGTTTGTTTTGTTCATATACTCACTTAATTTTTCTAAATGTCAGAAGTCTGTGGCATTACTAGAAACAGGTTCATCATATATTTTGATGAAGGTATGAATATCGTCTTCACACATGTCCCTAGTCCAGAATGCATACTACATTTACTCAATGTCACCTTATCTACGAAAATAGTTCTGGAAAGATTAAATACATATCGTTTCTGACAGAACCTGCACACTATGTTTTACCATAAACCAACAAAGGTCGACACTTTGATCGGGTGCCTGGATCCCACTGGTGTAGAAGGCTTCCATATGGTGGTGTAAAAAGTCCTCCAGTTGCAGACTGCTTAACAGATAGTTCTTTCTTCAAGTTACGGAAGAGGTGGAAATCTGATGGTACCAAATCTTGAGAATATGAATAATGGATTGAAAGCCACAGTTATGCATTGCACAGGTGCATTGTCCCGTTGGAATAACTCAATCCGTTCGAGAGATACTCCACTAGTAGGATTCCTTTGGGATCCCAGAATATGGAGTCATCACCTTGCCAGCTGATGAAACAGATTTTGGCTTCTTTGGAGCTGGAGACTTCATAAGATTTTATTGTTTTGAGTGTAGTTTAATCTCTGCCTGAAAGTGGTGAACCCATGACTCACTCATGAGTAGAAAACGTTCAATACAACCAGCTTGATCTGCTTCAAAATGAAGAGAAAAGATAAACCTGGATCGTTTCTTATTGGGAGTCAGAAGCCTCGGAACCCAGCGTGCTGAAACCTTTGTCATGTCTAGCTCATCCCTCAGAATGTTCTCAACTCTCACGAGATGCCTACTGTTTCGGCTATGCGACGTGTGGTGAGTCGTTGATCATCCAAAATCATATCTGTACACATTATCAACATTTCCCTTAGTGGTGTCAGTTGAAGGTCTTCCTGATCTTGGATCACCTTCTTTGCTTTCTCTTCCACCTGCTGAATTCCGCTGGCTACATATTAACAGTAGCAAAGGAAGGAGCATCATTCTTAAAGATGACACCGTTTCGGAATGGATGGCTGTTTGAGTTGCGGTAGTGACAGCGCGGTAGCCAAGATTGTCATGAAGTCATGCAAACTGTTAAGATTATATTACATCCTTCGCAGTTAGTTAGACTTGGAACGTTTCAGCCACCACACGTTGGCCATGGTTCGTGAAGTAGAAACTCGTTTATATATATAAACAAGTGATTTCATCAGGTGTATATGTAGTAAATATAAACAAAAACAGTCCAGATATTCGTGCTTGTCAAAACTCCTTTATCCACACAAGATATTTCCCCGTTCAACGGCTCTTCGGGTGTAATGAAGACTTTAACTTACATTGTAGTCCTAGGTGACGCACAACAGTAGCATTTGTTGCGTAATAATGCCTATGACGTAACAGTGACTAGTCCTTGGTTATATTTTTGACGTCATAAAGCCTATGACCTCATAGTTGTTTTTTTTATATTTTTATTTCAATTTATGACGTTATAGTTAGTAATAATAGTAGGAGGCATAAATACTACGTGGGGAAGTTTTGAAAATTAAAAATTTTGAATTAAGTTTAGGTTTCAAAAGCCAAATTGAACATCTGTTATATTTCTATTCGTAAACGTTTGTCATTGTTAAACAATTTCTAAAACAGAAAGACAGTAAAATGGCCACTCCCGCACTAACCAATGTGTTTGCTTACATTTATACAACTTACATTTGGATCTCGAATTTGTTGTCTGTGAACAGTGATGCGGTATTTTAGTTGCATACCAGTTTCTCCAATATAATGCGCACCACATCCCGCACATGTTAAAACATATATAGCATCTTTACTGCGGCAGTTCATGTTGTTTTAAACAGTAAATAGTTTGTCTTGCAAAATTTAAATTGGCAGACTTCAATTATTATCGGGCAAGTTTCACATGTAGGTGTGTTACATTTTGTTACACTGACAGTATTTGTATTTTTGGGGTATTTGGATGGTCACACACCCTTATACACATATAAACATAAACATATACAGACAGACAGACGGACGGACGGACGGACGGACGGACGGACGGACAGACAGACAGACAGACAGACAGACAGACAGACAGACAGACAGACGGACGGACGGACGGACGGACGGACGGACGGACGGACGGACGGACGGACGGACCCACCCACCCACCCACCCACCCACCCACCCACTCTTTGTGCTATTTTGAAAATATAGAATTAAACGATTTGTCAATTTTTTCCATTATTTCAAGATATAGGACGTTGATAGATGTGTTAATTGTGTGAAACATGTCCACACAGAACCTGATATTTTCCCAAAGAGTGTGTCTCCGGAGCAGCTGGGCGACGACTTTGCTGTTTTACAGAGAGAGTTAGAGTCTCTGCCATTTGGAAAGTCATTGATCATCGGCCCAGATACTACAGGTGTCGGACAGTACGTGGACGAGTAAGTGTGTGCCACTGCGACTGCATGTTGTTCTTGCAACGAAAAGGTATGTTCAATGTACTGTTAAAATGACGCAATCGCACAGTGCTTTCTGATCACCACTGCTTTACAAATGCTTATCCTGGTTGACACGATTGTTAGTCATTTGTTAATACTTAGGATGCTGGTCTAGAGAGAAATGCTGCTGGAGAGAAAATTATTGTGAAGTATTATCCCATATGGAATATATGTTGTAGGTTAGTTTTGTTTCGCCCTGTTGCAGTTTCTTAAAAGGAGATGGTGGAGGTGTTATCAACGCTGCTACAGTCCACCAGTAAGTTGTCAAATGTCAAAATCAAATTATTAACATTATTATCTTTCCTATTTTGATGTATCATTCTGAAACTTTGACTGATGTTCCTTCAACAAGGTCTATTTTTTACATGTTGTTTCGTTCACCGCTTTTTCTTCTCAACAGTTACTACTTTGATGGTAGACATTCAGTGCTCAGTATGTTCATGGACACAAGCATAATGGACAGCCTCAAGTCTAAGATCGAATCTTTTCTCTCTATGGGAAATGCCCGCATCCCCGGGAAACCAGTGTGGCTGGGCGAGACGTCATCAGCCTACAACACAGGAACTCCCGGGATATCCAACTCATATGTTGCAGGATTCTTGTGCGTACATACTACATCTGATCATAACCACATGCCATAGTTATCACATACACGTAGAGCATTAGTCGATGCGAAGAGTACTGCTATTAGGTCAGTCCGGATGTATAGTAACTACAGAGACTCCTGCCAATATACCAGAATGTCAGATGCTCAATGTTATATTTAAGGTGGATGGACAAACTGGGCCTCAGTGCCAAAATGGGTGTGAAAGCTGTTCTCCGCCAGGATTTCTATGGAGGAAACTATAGTTTGGTACAACAAAACACCTTCTACCCCAACCCAGTAAGTAGGGAATTACTTGCACCACACAATCTAGATTACCTTTCTCTTCAAGGCTAATACCAACACATTGTATATCAGGGATGACAGTGGTCACTCACGATGTTGTCTCTATCAGGATTACTGGCTGACTGTACTGTACAAAAGACTGGTTGGAAGTCACGTCTTCAACCTCACATCCACGGCCGACAAGTCTGTCCGAGTGTATGCCCACTGCGCCAAGCAAACCAGGTGAGTGCATTAGCATTTCAACTCAACGAATACTAGCTGGAAGACAAATGTGACAATCAATGTAGGGAGCACAAGATGCACGCACGTCTTCCTTTCGCCTTTAATTAAGCTCCAACCACTAAGAAATGTCTGGTGTGATTCATTGTTGCGCACACGACAAAAGAGTAGTTAAATGTCAAAGAGAACGCCTGACACTACCATCACACAAATAATGAAGCTGACACTAGCAATTGCTACGGATGCATTTGCATTGTACGAAGAAGTCTGAAAACGTTTATTTCAACAACGCTGTATCAGCACCTAGCCGACACCACGATTCAGACTGCCACATTATGCCGTGAAAAACGATTATTGTCAACCTAGTATCCATCCCTCTCACAGATGCATCCGCCAGACGTCTCCTTGTGCTGCATGTGATACGTCTGTTTTTTAACATTGAGATCCTCTGTCGTTCATGGCGCAGTGCCTGGGACAGTTCATCCAGGTTTTGAAAAGGAGGGTTCCTAGTTGTCCCTTGACGGTCAAAACAACCAGGAATGGCAGAGGATCACAACGTTGAAAATCAGTTTGTTTTGCTTTTAATTTTAAAGGTGTATTGTACATTTATTGGCCAACGAATCTGCCTTTTGATATTATATTTATGTTGTATGTAATTTATCGACATGATATTGTCCGATTGGAGTTCTTTTCAGTTTGTCCATAACAACATTTTTATAAAAAGGAGAAATTGCCTGAATGTTTAAATATAAGGGACTGTACCCTCGAAGTCCAAGTAATATAGAAGATATATTTTAATATATAATATATGACAGAACAAAGACTACATAATCATATCTTACCTTAACTTCAGCGTGTACAAATATGGTGCAGGCAGTGTTGTAGTTTACGCCATGAATCTCCACACCTCTGACGTCACGCTGACTGTACCCCAATTTGCTGGACAGACTAGAGATGTGTACTGGCTCACCTCACCCAACAACAATCTTACAGCCACGTATGTCTTGTGTCAAGAATAACTTCATTGTAGGTTGAGAACGGTATACTTGAATGTAATATACGGTATACTACCTGAATGTAAGGTAACACACAGATTTAGTGTGAAAGCTCCCTTTTTAGCTGCAAAAAAAGGAACTTGGAATCTTTTAATAAGGCGCACTTCCATGAATGTATTTAGTGTACCAACCCTGAAAAACTGAATAAGAAAACATGAAGATCCGTGGTAGAATAGTTCTTCAGCAACCCATGTTTGCCGTAAAAGGCGACTGTGTTTGTCGTAAGAGGCGACTAACGGGATCGGCAGGTCTGGCTTGCTGACTTGGTTGATGCATGTCGTATCACAATTGCGTGGTTCGATGCGCATGATGTCAATCACTGGATTGTCTGGTCCATACTCGATTATTTACAGATATTAAACAATAAACAAACAAACTGAATAAAGGCTAACTCAGTTTGTTTCTGTTATTAACAGTACCGTGGACCTTAATGGAGCACCCATCAACCTGGTCAACGACGATCTACCTCCCCTGACTCCCAGCAAGCTTAGTACAGACGTTACCATGCCACCGACTTCATTTGGGTTCCTGGTATTCCCAGAGGCTGGAGTTTCAGCATGCACCAGCAAATAGTTACCTATGGCCTTGACACTTGACCCCTCTGGCCATGTGACTTCATGCTCATATTCAGATTTTGAATAAATTCAATTATGCATATAAACTAATTTAGCTACACCATCTGTATAATTGAATAAGGAACGAATATGCGTCCATGTTCGTTGTGTTAATTACACTGACATGTAGCCACTGAAATGAAAATAGTTTTCAGAAAACAACTGTTGTTCAATTATCTTTAAAAATATTATATAAATAAGCCCATAGACTCTCTTCTTTTTCACCAACTGCTATAATCTAGTCTTGCCAACTACCATAGACTGGCATAATAAACATTCGGGTTATGCACTGATAGTTTTTTTCTAATTTCGCACCTATCCTGCTGTGTGTGAAAAAGTACAGATTGTGACTGTGGACGTAGCAGATAAAATACAAGCTTTTCTTTAACATGTGTCTGTCACCTACAATTATAGACTGCGGCACGTAGTTTGTACGTGGTCCTGTGCAAAGCGCACATGTCACTGATCAGGTTAAGTTAAGCAACGTCGGTCTCCGCAGCTTGACTCCTGTCCCCACACTGAAGCATACGTGGTGTCCCCTTAGGCAAGTGATTTAGTTCGAAATGTGCCTCTGTTCGCCCAGCAGTGAATGGGTATCCAGTAGGATGAGATGGTAACTTGGCAGCTAACCTTCTAGCGCTTGGATTGTATACTCTCCAGGAGTGTATACTGATCCACTGACCGGGGTAATGATGTTAGCTCTTTGAACCTAGCACAATATAAGTACACACATTATGAGCATGTGAGATGGTATGTTAGTTGTCATGTGAGATGGTATGTTAGATGGTATGTTAGAGTATGTGAGATTCATGTTACATGGTATGTAAGAGTGAGTGAGTATGGTTTTACGCCACTTTTAGCAATATTCCATCTATATCACGGCGGGCGACACCAGAAATGGGCTTCACACATTGTACCCATGTCGGGAATCGAACCCGGGTCGACCGAACGCTTTAACCAGACCACCCCTGATGGTATGTTAGATGGTATTTTAGATGTCATGTTAATTGTCATGTACAATGGTATGTTAGATGTCATGTGAGATGGCATGCTGGATGTCATGTGAGATGGTATTTTAGATGTCATGTTAGTTGTCATGTACAATGGTATGTTAGATATCATGTGAGATGGCATGCTGGATGTCATGTGAGATGGTATGTTAGATGTCATGTTAGTTGTCATGTACAATCGTATGTTAGATGTCATGTGAGATGGCATGCTGGATGTCATGTGAGATGGTATGTTAGATGGTATGTTGGATGATATGTTAGATGGTACGTTAGATATCATGTTAGTTGTCATGTGAGATGGTATGTTAGATGATAAGTTAGATGGTACGTTAGATATCATGTTAGTTGTCATGTGAGATGGTATGTTAGATGGTATGTTAGATGATATGTTAGATGGTACGTTAGATATCATGTTAGTTGTCATGTGAGATGGTATGTAAGATGGTATGTTAGATAATATGTTAGAAGTCATGTTAGATTGTATGTTACATGGTATCTTAGATGGTATGTTAGTTGTCACGTTAGATGATGTGTTAGAGGGTATGTTAGATGTCATGTTAGATGTAATGTGAGATCGTATGTTAGATGATATGTTTAGATATCATGTTAGATGATACGTGAGATGGTATGTCAGATGGTATGTCAGATGATATCTTAGACATCATGTTAGACATCATGTTAGTTGGTATTTTAGATGTCATGTTAGATAACATGTTAGATGTCATGTTAGTTGTCATGTGAGATGGTATGTTTGATGGCATGTTAGTTGTCATGTTAGATATCATGTTAGATGGTATGTTAGATGGAATGTTAGGTGGTATTTTAGATGGTATGTTAGATGGTATGTTAGATGGTATGTTAGATGTCATGTTAGATGATATGTTAGATATCATGTTAGAGGGTATGTTAGATGTCATGGTAGATGGTATGTTAGATGTCATGTTAGGTGTCATGTTAGATGTAATGTTAGAGGGTATGTTAGATGTAATGTTAGATGGTATGTTAGATGTCATGTCAGATGTCATTTTGAATGATATGTGAGAGGGTATGTTAGCTGTCATGTTAGATGGTATGTTAGATGTCATTTTAGAGGATATGTTAGATGTCATGTTAGATAATATGTGAGATGTAATGTTAGATTTCATGTTAGATGATATGTTTGATGTCATGTTAGAGGGTATGTTAGATGGTATGTTAGATGATATGTTAGATATCATGTTAGACTGACTGACTGATTATGGTTTTACGCCGCTTTAAGCAATATTCCAGCAATATCACGGCGGGGGACACCAGAAATGGGCTTCACACATTGTACCGATGTCGGGAATCGAACCCGGGTTTTCGGCGTGACGAGTGAACACTTTAACCACTAGGCTACCCGACTACCCCTATCATGTTAGATGTCATGTTAGATGGTATGTTAGATGTCATGTATGATGGTATGTTAGATGGTATATTAGATGTCATGAATCATGGTATGTTAGATGGTATGTAAGATGTCCTGTAAGATGTCATGTTAGATGATGTGTTAGATGGTATTTTAGATGGTATGTTAATTGTCATGTGAGATAGTATGTTAGATTGAATATTAGTTGCCATGTGAGATGGTATGTTAGATGGTATGCTAGATAATATATTAGATGGTATGTTAGATATCATGTTTGATGATATGTTAGAGGGCATGTTAGATGGTATGTTAGATGTCATGTTAACTGGTATGCTAGATTTCATGTAAGACGGTATGTTAGATAGTATGTTAGATGTCATGTCAGATGATATGTTAGTTACCATGTTAGATTTCATGATAGTGGGTATGTTAGATGTCATGATAGATGTCATGTTAGATGTCATGTTAGATTTCATGTTAGATGATGTATTAGATGGTATGTTAGATGTCCTATTAGATGTCATGTAAGATGGTATGTTAGAGGGTATGTTAGATGTCATGTTAGATGTCATGTTAGATGGTACGTTAGATGGTATGTTAGATGTCATGTAAGATGGTATGTTACATGGTATGTTAGATTGTATGTTAGATGTCCTGTTAGATGTCATGTTATGTGTCATGTTAGATGGTATGTTAGATGTCATGTAAGATGGTATGTTAGATGGTATATTAGATGTCATGTATCATGGTATGTTAGATGGTATGTAAGATGTCCTGTAAGATGTCATGTTAGATGGTATGTTATTTTAGATGGTATGTTAATTGTCATGTGAGATAATATGTTAGATGGAATATTAGTTGCCATGTGAGATGGTATGTTAGATGGTATGCTAGATAATATATTAGATGGTATGTTAGATATCATGTTTGATGATATGTTAGAGGGCATGTTAGATGGTATGTTAGATGGTATGTTATATGTCATGTTAACTGGTATGCTAGATTTCATGTAAGACGGTATGTTAGATAGTATGTTAGATGTCATGTCAGATGATATGTTAGTTACCATGTTAGATTTCATGATAGTGGGTATGTTAGATGTCATGATAGATGTCATTTTAGATGTCATGTTAGATTTCATGTTAGATGATGTATAAGATGGTATGTTAGATGTCCTGTTAGATGTCATGTAAGATGGTATGTAAGAGGGTATGTTAGATGTCATGTTAGATGTCATGTTAGATGGTACGTTAGATGGTATGTTAGATGTCATGTAAGATGGTATGTTACATGGTATGTTAGATTGTATGTTAGATGTCCTGTTAGATGTCATGTTATGCGTCATGTTAGATGATATGTAAGATGGTATTTAGATGGGATGTTAATTGCCATGTGAGATAGTTTGTTGGATTATATATTAGTTGCCATGTGAGATGGTATGCTGGATAATATGTTAGGTGGTATGTAAGATATCATGTTAGATGATATGTTAGATCATATGTTAGAAGGGTATGGTAGATGGTAAGTTAGATGATATGTTCGATCGTATGTCAGATTATGTGTTAGATGGTATGTTAGAGGGTATGTTAGATGTCATGTTAGATGATATCTTTGATGTCATGTTAGAGGGTATGTTAGATGTCATATTAGATGGTATGTTTTATATCATGTTATATGGTATGTTAGATTTCATGATAGATGATATGTTAGAGGGTATGTTAGATGGTATGTAAGATGTCATGTATGATGGTATGTTACATGGTATGTAAGATTTCCTGTTATATGTCATGTTAGATGATATGTTAGAGGGCATGTTAGATGGTATGTTAGATGGTATGTTAGATGTCATGTTAACTGGTATGTTAGATTTCATGTAAGACGGTATGTTAGATAGTACATTGTATGTTAGATGTCATGTTAGATGATATGTTAGTTACCATGTTAGATGTCATGTTAGATGGTATGTAAGATGTCATGTAAGATGGTATGTTAGATGTACGTTAGATGTCATGTTAGATGATATGTTAGTTACCATGTTAGATGTCATGTTAGAGGGTATTTTAGATGTCATGCTAGATGTCATGTTAGATGGTATGTAAGATGGTAAGTTAGATGAAATGTTAGATGGTATGTTAGATGTCATGTTAAGTGATATGTCAAAGGGCATGTTAGATGTCATGTTAGATGGTATGTAAGATGTCATGTAAGATGGTATGTTAGATGTACGTTAGATGTCATGTTAGATGGTACGTTAGATGGTATGTTAGATGTCATGTTAGATATCATGTTAGATGATGTGTTAGATGTCATGTTAGATAGTATGTTAGAGGGTATGTCAGATGTCAGGTAAGAGGGTATGTAAGATGATATGTTAGATTGTATGTTCGATGAACGTTAGATGTCATGTTAGATGGTACGTTAGATGGCATGTTAGATGTCATGTTAGATATCATGTTAGATGTCATGTTAGATGGTATGTTAGATGTCATGTAAGATGGTATGTTAGATGGTTTGTTAGATGTCATGTATGATGGTATGTTAGATGGTATGTAAGATGTCCTGTTAGATGTCATGTTAGATGATGTGTTAGATGGTATGTTAGATGGAATATTAGTTGCCATGTGAGATGGTATGTTAGATGGTATGCTAGATAATATATTAGATGGTATGTTAGATATCATGTTTGATGATATGTTAGATGATATGTTAGAGGGCATGTTAGATGGTATGTTAGATGGTATGTTAGATGTCATGTTAACTGGTATGCTAGATTTCATGTAAGACGGTATGTTAGATAGTACATTGTATGTTAGATGCCATGTTAGCTGATATGTTAGTTACCATGTTAGATGTCATGTTAGAGGGTATTTTAGATGTCATGCTAGATGTCATGTTAGATGGTATTTAAGATGGTAAGTTAGATGAAATGTTAGATGGTATGTTAGATGTCATGTTAAGTGATATGTCAAAGGGCATGTTAGATGTCATGTTAGATGGTATGTAAGATGTCATGTAAGATGGTATGTTAGATGTACGTTAGATGTCATGTTAGATGGAACGTTAGATGGTATGTTAGATGTCATGTTAGATATCATGTTAGATGATGTGTTAGATGTCATGTTAGATAGTATGTTAGAGGGTATGTCAGATGTCAGGTAAGAGGGTATGTAAGATGATATGTTAGATTGTATGTTAGATGTACGTTAGATGTCATGTTAGATGGTACGTTAGATGGTATGTTAGATGTCATGTTAGATATCATGTTAGATGATATGTTAGATGTCATGTTAGATAGTATGTTAGAGGGTATGTCAGATGTCAGGTTAGAGGGTATGTAAGATGATATGTTAGATTGTATGTTAGATGATATGTGAGGTGAGGTGAAATTGGGTTTAACGTCGCGTCCAAGATTATTGCACTTATATAGCGACGTTCATGTACGAGTATGTGTTTGTGGCTGCTTGTTCTAGTCCGGACTGATGCCGATTTATAGTGCTAGCTCACTGAGATACCACGCCGCAGTTTAACATGAATACCCCACTCAGACACAGTATACTGACTCCGAGCCGGCCAGTCCTTGTTTTAGCCCCTTAATGCCGAGCGCACGACAGGGTAAATACAAGTACCATCTTTTAACGTCTTTTGGTATGACGCGGCCGGGGATCGAATTCGGACGGACGCTCTACCACATGACCACGGAGGCGGTCAGATGATATGTGAGATATAATGTTAGATATTTGGATTATATGTTAGATGGTATGTTAGATGATATATTAGTTGGTATGTTAGATGTCATGTTAGATGGTATGTAAGATGGTTTGTTAGATATCATGTTAGATGTCATGTTAGATATCATGTTAGATATCAGGTTAGATGTCATGTTCATGATATGTTAGATAGTATGTTAGATGTCCTGTTAAATGATATGTTAGAGGGTATGTCAGATGTCATGTTAGATAGTATTTGCTGCCAATGTATAATTACATGTTTTATTCATGTCTCGCACAGTGTTCAACGTGACGTTATTCAGCATCATAAAACGCATGCAGCATTTTTAGCATTTTTAGCATTTGCTGGTCTTACTATGCCTCAAGAAACACAAGAAATGGTTCACAGTCAAATACTGTTAAAGCATACGCAGAATGAAGATCATAACATATGTGTATGTATGGAACACATGTGTTTACTCAAACGCACGAGGAACTCAACATTACATAATGTAACTGGTAACTCAAGACATATAACACATGATATTGACTACATGGTGTTATATAGAAAATAAGAATTTACAATATGTACAGAGAAATTAGCAATTTTTTAGGGGCGCCACCTCATGCTTTGAGTGCCCGTCATAAGTTCTATTAAAGTATTTCGATGTTGTCGGTTAGTCCGTTAATTCTGATCGACAACCAACTCAAAACACTTGAGTCAACCCATGTCGCTTCACTCAATATATTTGCTAACACCAAAGAGTTCGCCTTGTATTTAGTCATGGTAGAATGAAGATAAACATACTGTGTTTTAAATGTAGAACATGGTTACTTGTGGATTTAACCGCGCTTAATTTAACATTTGAAACCTCAAGCTGCGCGTTCGGTTGAACTTTAGAGGATACCAAAAGAAACCTGATATGATTTTAGTATGTTTTCGTAAGGTCGATAATATGAACACCAATATCCCCCTAATTGTATTACATATACCCAGCAAATATGTTCACATTAAATGTATGTTATAAACCGATTAACTTAAACATCAACCAAACTTTGAAACCTGCAAATAATATTACAAGTACATACATTCCATACATTGTATTGTCCTACTGACATACTTAAACTGATAAAAAGTGCTCAACCTTCACCTGGTGTTATATTTGATAAGATCTGAGGTCTGTAAAGTTTAACTATAGCCATTTTATTTGCCAACAGAAGGCAAAATGTCTGTTTTGCCAGTTTTCGCTGTTTTGTGTATTTATTGTGTGCAACAAGTGATCCTCCAGACTCCACAGATTTCCATTAAAGTTGATGTAGAGAAGGTGATCCAGGACATTGATGAGGATGTATTCATGGGGGTCACGCTGGACTGCTACTTGATGCAGGACAATTGGGAACGATTTGACTTCAGGTAAAGATAACTGTTACTGAAGACACGGTAAAGTAGTCCACGATGCTAACGAGCACACTGACTGGGTGACAACGAATGAGCACTGACAACCGTTATTTTTGCCTTTTAAATGGCTGTAAGAAGACAACGATCTCAAAGTGTTATTGACAGATTGTGGGGCAGGAAGTAATGACAATCCACCGCAGCAAGGAGGCCAGCTTTGTCGCTATTTCTGTCTGATGTCTTCCTGTCTCTTCTGTTCACTGTTCTTTTCGCGTTTCTGAATGTTCACTGTTCTTTTCGCGTTTCTGAATGTTCACTGTGGCTGAAGTGTGGGTTGTCGTGCTGTATGGGGGAACATGACAGTGGTGACTGTAAGTTTGAAGGCATCCATGCCGACATACGGAATGACACATGGGCCGATGTCAGTTATCATCCGATTGATGGATTTACAATAGTGCCGTAGGAGACCACACAGGATCTGAAGCGCGCAGAGCATCCACAGGGAGAATCAGGGGGAAATCGACAACACAATCTTTTGGATATTCACCATCAAAATATTGCCGTTGACTAACTGCTCCATTCAGGTTAATATATTCAGGACGAATTGAGTTTATTCATCCTTCAGACCTCAGTTGTTAGCTTTTCACAGCACTTTCAGTGTGTCATTATGATCGGTGGAGGTCAAATTCGATATCGAGTTGTGATTATTATAAAAGGGTCTTCAGTTTAGGAATTACCGTAAAGGTCTTCGTGATCCCATAACGGACATATGGTCGATTCATGACAATACCAGTATCCCATGAGTACGTGTTGGTGTACCCGATCTGCTCTGAATTTGCTCCGAAATAGGTGCAGATACATGTCTACCTGAATTACATTTCCAATCAAACTGGTAATTGTCCCATATTGAGATGGAAACAAAATATTTATTTATCTACAACATATTGACACAGTAATATTGTCAATTCAGAAACATAACACCGGTCTTTAACTTTGCCTGTATATGTAACATGTATATATATATATATATATATATATATATGTGTATATTTGATTGTCCGGCTCTAAAGCCTACTCGTGATTTCTTTCTCTAGAAATGGACGTATGTTGAATCTTGCAAAGGGGATCGGTCCATCGTTTCTCCGCATCGAGGGTACGGCATGCGACTCGCTTACCTTTGACCCTAACCGACTCGGAAAGAAACATGTTTCCAAATTGGTTCGCCCGCCATTTACAACAAATTTCACCATGACAGGTAAACTATTCAGCCTTACGTATTGTCCCGGAAGTACTCGGAGTTATTGATTAATTGATTCTTTTTTGTTGTTGATTACATGCCACTGGGTATGTAACTAACGCTAGGTAGCTAAACTATTCTATGTAAGCATCAGTCAGTATTTTATTACCTCTCCATAAAGCGGAAGACTGGGACAATTTCAACATGTTTGTGAAGAAGGTTGGATGGAAGATGATCTTTGGCATCAACGCCAAGAAACGAGATAAAGCTGAGTGGGATCCATTGAATGCCCTTGTATTGTTGAAGTACACTGATTTGAACTTGGAAACGGCAAGCGTTTGTTTTGTTCATTTACCCACTTAATTATTTTAAGTCATTACAAGCAACAGACTATGAACATCGTCTTCCCATCTCTTCCTAGCCGTGAATGTATACCACATTCGGAAGAGGTGGAAATCTGATGGTACGAAACCCGGAGAATATGAATAATGAATTCAAAGCCTGTCAACTGGCTACGTGACATGTAGAGTCGTCGATCAATCAAAATCATATCCTATATCTTATCAACATTTGGTCTTCTTGGTCTTTGGTCATCCTCAATGCTTTCTCTTTCCCTCCTTAACTCCGCTGGCCACCTATGAACATTGGTAAAGAAAGAGGCATAATTTCTAAAGTTGACACCATGTCCTCATGGAGGCTGTTGGACAGATATTGATGACGGACAATATCTACATACTTTAGTACATGCACACATATGCGGCCTGGTTGTGTATTAGGTTCAAATGCAGCCTGAAAGCATGGAGAGTATTGTACTGAATACATGCAAATTGTTACGGGTGTTCTATACATCCTCAGTAGTTAGACTTGCGTCTTCTAAGCAACCACACGTAGCTCACGGCCCGTGTTGGAGAATCTCGCCGTGTCGAACTTCTATACATCCTCAGTAGTTAGACTTGGGTCTCCTAAGCAACCACACGTAGCTCACGGCCCGTGTTGTAGAATCTGGCCGTGTCGAACTTCTATACATCCTCAATAGTTAGACTTGGGTCTCCTAAGCAACCACACGTAGCTCACGGCCCGTGTTGTAGAATCTGGCCGTGTCGAACTTCTATACATCCTCAGTAGTTAGACTTGGGTCTTCTAAGCAAACACACGTAGCTCACGGCCCGTGTTGGAGAATCTCGCCGTGTCGAACTTCTATACATCCTCAGTAGTTAGACTTGGGTCTTCTCAGCAACCACACGTAGCTCACGGCCCGTGTTGTAGAAACTCGCCGTGTCGAACTTATGTGTGGATATACATATACATATACATATACATATACATATACATTAAGTATAAATATGCATGCTAGATGATGCCAATGGTATTTGATTATCAGATTAAACCACATATATTTTCCACTGTTTCTAGAGATATATGTGTGAATTGTGTGAAACATGTCGACACAGAACCTGATGATTACCCCAAGAGTTGGGCGCTGACTTTGCTGTCTTACAGAGAGCATTACAGTCTCTGCCATTTGTCATTGATCATCAGCCCAGACACTACCGGTGTCAGACAGTAAGTGGACGAGTAAGTGTGCGCCACTGCACCAACTTGTTGTTCTTGAAACGAAAGGTATGTTCAATGTACTATAGATATGAGGCAATCGCACGGTGCTTTCTGATCCTAACTTGTTTAGAAACGCCGATCGTGATTGACAAGATTGTTGGTCATTTGTTAATACTCAGGATGCTCGTCTAGAGAGAGAGAGTCTACTTGTGTGAAGTATGATCCCTTGTGCTATATGTGTTGAAGATCAGTTTTGTTCGCCCTGTTGCATTTTTTTGAAAGGAGATTGTGGAGGTGTTATCATCGTTGCTACACTCCACCAGTAAGTTGTCAAATCAAATTATTAACATTATTATCTTTCCTATTTTGATGTATCATTCTAAAACTTTGACTGATGTTCCTTCAAAAAAGGTCTATTATTTTAATGTTGTTTCGTTCACCGCTTTTTCTTCTCAACAGTTACTACTTTGATGGTAGACATTCAGTGCTCAGTATGTTCATGGACACAAGCATAATGGACAGCCTCAAGTCTAAGATCGAATCTTTTCTCTCTATGGGAAATGCCCGCAACCCCGGGAAACCAGTGTGGCTGGGCGAGACGTCATCAGCCTACAACACAGGAACTCCCGGGATATCCAACTCATATGTTGCAGGATTCTTGTGCGTACATACTACATCTGATCATAACCACATGCCATAGTTATCACATACACGTAGAGCATTAGTCGATGCGAAGAGTACTGCTATTAGGTCAGTCCGGATGTATAGTAACTACAGAGACTCCTGCCAATATACCAGAATGTCAGATGCTCAATGTTATATTTAAGGTGGATGGACAAACTGGGTCTCAATGCCAAATGGATGTGAAAGCTGTTCTCCGCCAAGATTTTTATGGAGGAAACTATAGTTTGGTACAACAAAACATCTTCTACCCCAACCCAGTAAGTAGGGAATTACTTGCACCACACAATCTAGATTATCTTTCTCTTCAAGGCTAATACCAACACATAGAGTACCAACCCTGAAAAGCTGAATAAAGGATAACTAAAAAAATATCTGTTATTAAAAGTACCGTGGACCTTAATGGAGCACCCATCAACCTGGTCAACGACGATCTACCTCCCCTGACTCCCAGCAAGCTTAGTACAGACGTTACCATGCCAACGACTTCATTTGGGTTCCTGGTATTCCCAGAGGCTGGAGTTTCAGCATGCACCAGCAAATAGTTACCTATGGCCTTGACACTTGACCCCTCTGGCCATTTGACTTCATGCTCATTCAGATTTTGAATCAACGCAATTATTCATATAAACTAATTTAGCTACACCATCTGTAAAATTGAATAAGGAAAGAATATGCCTTCATGTTCGTTGTGTTAATTGCACTGAAATGTAGCCACTGAAATGAAAATAGTTTTCAGAAAACAACTGTTGTTCAATTAACTTTAAAAAAATATTAAATATAGAAGCCCATAGACTCTCTTCATTTTCATCAACTGCAATAATCTAATTTTGGCAATCCTGCTGCGAAGAAGTACAGATTGTGACCTGGCCGTGGACTTAGCAGATAAGAATACAAGCTTTCCTTTATCATGTGTCTGTTTCCAACAAGATGTCTGGGCTTTCTGTAGTTCTGCTTGTCCTGTATTTGTATACTATGACGCAAAGCACCGTTGTGGACGTGAGTCTCATGACAGACGCGGTGATTCAGGAGATAAACCAGACTGTATTTGTGGGAGTGGCATTAGATGTATCCCTTCTTCAGAACAATTGGGGGGGACTGAACTTCAGGTAGGCCACTCAGTGTGACCCAAGATGGTAACGACACACGGAAACAACAACACCTGTCTCATGTGTTCTTTCCAATATGTACTTTAATGCAGAAAAGGCTACTGAAATTCTATGTACACTAAAGGAATATGTACATGGTAACGTGATAACTTGTGAAATTAGGTAACTTGGCATATTCTTGAATATTTCTTGTTTTTCTTTCAAAGCATCTTTTACATACATGATAATCAGTGTCATTGTAGACATACTTAAAGGAGTTACCTTCAAAAGGATAATATGTGTAGTTATTCAAGTGAACTGTATTTTCCATGTTCTCTTGTCCAACAAAGAGCTCATACATGAGATCCAAATTATATGTTATTTGTAATATACCATTTCTGAAGTAAAGATTACAAATGTTTTATATTTAATACCATTTTACTTTATTTAGCAATGACAAAGTCCTGACACTTGCGAGCGGATTGTCCCCCTGCTACCTGCGTTTCGGAGGGTATGCTGGCGACGCTTTAACCTTCAACAGCAGTTTGTCCATGGTGAGATCACACATGACCGAAGGGGGACATCTCGACCCACCTGTAAACTTTACCATGACAGGTAAAAAGTAATTTCATCTGATGTTTGTTCATGTTTAAGTTCTTGTAGATGCACCAAGGAGGAGACATTGTACACATGTTTGCTGACTGCTTACCTTCCGGTTTATGGTTGCATTTCAGGAAATGATTGGGATATTTTGAACGAATTTTCCCGAAGAGCTGGTATGAACTTGATATTTGGACTGAACGCACTGAAGAGGGATGGCTTCAAGTGGGATCCGACAAATGCTCTTGAACTTCTCAGATATACACAACAGAAGGGGTACAAACTGGCAGGAATTGAACTTGGAAACGGTATGTGTGTGCTGGTACTGATATGTGAAAGAATATCTCCATTGGTTATGCTTGGAATTGAAAGACCCGAGGACAGAAAGCTGATGGAAAGTAAGATCGAGGGCACAGCCCGTGTTCTTACTGTCCCAAAGTTTCCTTTCCAAGGTTTCTTACAAACCCAAGCATAACCGAAGAAGAGGATTTCATTTGACTAGGATACGGACAAAAAACGATCAAATATGTCCCATTAATTTGAGTAAATATGTGAAAATAGAGCAAAATCTACTTTGCCCCAACCACAGAAATGGCTCCATGATTACTCGTGTGCAGGTACCCTCGTGATCTTGTTTACAGTCGCCACGTTGTTGTTTCTTTTAAGTATATTTAGGATAACAACTTCTAAGAGAATGTACGTGGATGTAATGTAACCCTATTATTCACTTGTTATGGCTTCTGTTTGATGTCATGATTTCAGAGCCCGACGAGTTTCTGGGGAGATATGAAGTATACGTCGATCCGGACCAGATGGGAACTGATGCACTCACCTTCCAGAAGCTCTTTAGAAACATGTCCTACTACAACAACACGCTCTTCATAGGCCCAGACACAGCCAAACCCTTCATATACCTTGATGAGTAGGTGACGAAATGTCAGATGACGTTCATGAAGTGACTTTTACCTTACTACACATGAGCAGTATTTAAGCAGTTACATGTAACTATATCGCAGGGATGTGTTTAGAATAATACGATCAACATTCTCATAAAGCATGTTGTTATGTGACACGGATCCTCCTGACAAGTTGTATTCTTAGAACGGATCAATTAAACTTTTAGGACTGCAACATGTTTCATTTGGGACGTGAAAGGTTTCCATGAGGTTTCCAAATAACAATGTCAATATCGGGTGTGACCACAATCTTCGTTGATACACGCGAGGCAGCGGCGGTGCATTGAGGACACCAAACGATTGGAGGGATGTTGTTCAAAATGTCAACCAACGATTGGTCTATGTGAGCTAGCGTTACTGGCTGGTTCTAGTGTGTCGTAGGCGTCGGTCTATCTCATCCCAGACATGTTCTATGGGAGAAACAGCCGGCCATGGGAGTACGGCAATGTTATGCTACCTCAAAACGTTTGTTACGACACGTGCAACGTGTGGGCGGGCATTATCCTGCTGCTACGTGACGGGACTTTCATGCATTTGCACAAAAGGTAGAGCATAATCTCGAACGATGTTGTCCCGGTAGCGTACACAATTAAAATTGCCATTAACAATCATGAATTGTGTTCTCCCGTGAGTTGTGAAGCCACGGCTTACAATTACACTTCCACTCCCAAACTGACGACGCTGACCTCCTCCTGGACGCCTGTAGACCCTTGTTCGACCATCAGAGCTGTACATGTCCAGATGACACCTGGTCTTATCTGTGAACAGTATATTGTCCCAGTCTTGTCTTCTGAACCTCAAATGCTGTCTACAACAAGCTAGGCGTGCCTGGCGATGACGTGTAGGCAAACTTGTAGACGTGTAGGCTTATCGCTGGGCGTCGGGGTCGGATGTTGTGCTCCCTCAACCGGTTGCGTACGGTTATGCCACTGATTGGTCTCAACCCAGGAATTGACCGAGCTATGAATGTGGCAGTTTGGTATTGATTCCGTAGATGCACCAACCGAATATGATTGATTATCTGGTTGACGTGACACGTGGACATCCGGTCCTTGGCAAGTCATGAGTGTCGCCTTATTGTAGATAACGTCTCCAAAGAGATAATATTGTGTTCCGATGAACATTAACATGTCTGGGAACTTCGTTTTGCGCCATTCTTCTTTGCCGCATGTTCACGGTGCTTGGACAATGATTTTCAGCAAGCCGTGTCATTGCATAAGCGTTATGTATTGTTAATCAAAAGTGTTTTTATGAGCACCTGATAGCTATACCATGCTTCCCACAAACACAAAAAACATCCAAAGTGTACGCTGTGTATTGACATAGACGTGCAAATTGTGAATCACGACCTCAAAGTCGAGATGTCATCATGAATATGTATTGAAAGATGCATTAATTCATTTCAGAATAAATGTATTTTTATTGAACTTTATATGAAGTACAGTTCCTTTTCCATTTCGTATACATTGTCTTTCATGTATATTCTAAATTGTTAGACGACTTGTAGATAACATTGACTATACATGATGTAAATAAATATATACCTGGACTTCATATAACTAAGTTCAGAATGAGACGGTCACATGTAATTTGTATTTTCTTCTGTGTGTATGTGATGTTTCCGTCCAGATATTTGGATACTGATGGGGGCATGGCTGTGGATGCGGTTTCGTTCCATCAGTAAGTAACATATACGAAGGTTCTACCATCACAGACTACTCCTTCAAGTATTTATACTTATAGTTCTCGAGTGATTTCCTACCAACCGTAGGTTTCAGATATTCAAGTACGAGATGTCTTGGCATTTGGTAAAAAGAAAAGTATAAAAGCATCCTTCACGCAAACACCGGTTGCAAACATTGTTATCAAAGAATGATAGATTGCTATGGGCACTGATATACTGGCGTGTTCTGCAGGTACTATTTCTCACCCGAGGTAGCTGACCTGGTTATGTTCACGGAGCCCTACTACTTTGACCAGTGCATCAAGAAGGTGATAGACGCGGTGGACATGGCCACGTTCCACGTGAAGACAAAGCCTGTGTGGCTAGGGGAGACGTCCACGGTCAAGGGGGCAGGATCACCGGGATTGTCCAACACATACGTGGCGGCGCTCATGTTCGTAATCATCCAGTCACCTGCGAAAAGTTTAGATAGAGCTATCCTTAGAACGCCGCAGTGGGGCCAATCTAATCAGTAACAAAGCATACGCATGATGGAGTATATATGCTCTTGCTCATGCAGGAACCCCGTCACCAAGGGTGATAGGTTTACAGGAATGATTGTTACATTGGTATCTTTAGGGAGAAGGCGGCAATAAATGGTGCACTTGTGCCCAATCCCGTTGTCTTTTTGGACAATAACATATAACAAATATATCTTTCTGCCCTCTCATATCGAACATACACATCCAATTAATAGCCAGTTTTCTTACTTGGTGGATAAATATTAAATAATATAACATTTAGGTCACTTTGAGTGCAGCTGATGTATACATTTCAGACATATGTTTTGAGTTAACATCAGAATGTCCGAATCGTAAAGGAAATTTTGACAGCGTGCCGATGCTCGAACATGAAAGCCAATGATAATTAAGCGTAAGTGACACGTACGCATGTTTATTTTTTTCAAATTGCAGGTGGCTGGATAAGTTGGGCGTGGCTGCGAAATTTGGTATAAAGACTGTTATAAGACAAGATCTATATGGAAGTTATAACAGTCTGATACAACCAAACACATTTGACCCAAACCCAGTAAGTTTCATTTTATAAATCAGTGTAGATGAAATCTATATGGACTGATGTGACTAAGCATTGAGAAGAGCATCATGTTGTCTACGTGATGTAACATTTGAGTTCATATCCATAGACACTGTTCAAGACGCGATTTATGTACAACAGTAAATGTTTATTTTGTTATTTGTGTGTGGCATAAGTTATCCTGACCTTACTATGACACTAATGCGCATTGTACCCGAAGATTTGAATTCACTGAAAAGTAGGTGCACATCACATATCTGCAGAAATGACGTTTCCCACGTCTCGTCCAAATCAATTTAATTTAGTTATCATCTGAAGAATGAAATACTAGTAATTCCATGAACAGAGCAATTAGAGACTTGTTATTGACTTCCAAAATGATTATATATTTCACAATTTATTTTTATCAAATAGCATAACAAAGCAATAATCTGAAATTATAAAAACAGGATACCGAGGTTTGAAATAATACGGTGACGAGGTAATGGTCATATACAATTGTAGACAGACTCAGTCAAGCATACCTCCACGGCCTCTGATCATATGTAACCACGTGGTTGACTAGAGATGTTGTTCGTCGAGAAAGACAATCACCAAGGCATTGTCGTCACATGTACTGAAAACTGAAAAGGTAATCGTTGTCCTAATATTCATATTAATATATACAATTTACTCATATCTAGCCACCACAAGTGTCCACAGATAAGAGGAAATGAGGTTGTGCCTGACTCGTCATTTACCGTATATATTAATGTCGTGAAAGTGTCCTGTATGTTAGTTAATGTGCCTATATGGGGAGTGTATTCGGCAAGCCGGTCCAGATGAGCGCTCTGAGCATGTTCTACTTCTTGTGTTAGAACACAGCTGAGGGTTAATGCGGAGGCTACATGGGACCTGTAGAGGGTCCGTCATCAAGTTAATTGCCAATGAGTCACCATTTATGAACGTCCAATCTGAAATGAAAACGTGTTTTGTATTTTAGGACTACTGGGTTACACTTCTATACAAACGCCTAGTCGGCTCACATGTGTTCAACCTGACAACATCGGCGGATAACTCGGTCCGTGTGTACGCTCACTGCGCCAAACAGAACAGGTGCGTACAAGACTATTGCCCTTTCTCGAATATTTGTAGTACCACGGACGTATATACGTCTTTGGTAGTACCAAGCAATGCATTCGCCTTGTCATGATATCAAAGTACATACCATTGTGTAGTTCGTGATGTTGTTTTACCTTCAAACATATATTGAAGTATACATTGGACTGCTATGATTGAGGCCGCCCTGGATGGTGATGTTTGTGTTGCAGCTCCTACGACTACGGCAGTGGCAGTGTCGTCCTGTATGCCGTCAACCTGAACAGGAACAACGTCACCTTAAGTCTGCTTCAGTTCGGAGATAGACACCTGGATGTGTTCTGGCTCACATCCCAGGGCAACAACATCACGGCAACGTAAGACCACCTGCTTCAGCATGTGCACAAACTTGAAGCTTGATTATTAAACTGAGTGTCACGAATAATTTACAAGTGTTCAATAATTATTCAGATCTTGTCCACATTATACACTCGCTCTGCTCTAACATGGTACACCATATTATGCACTTCATCATCTAATTCACATACCAACATTGCAGATCATGATGAAATGAGCTAATATATATTTTTGTCGACGTATCTTTATGATAATAATACAGTGATCCATATCATATTAAATCTTAGTATGCGTGCATGTGTGTGTTGTTACCCCCTCTGTTGCTGTAAATAAATCGTATCTGGACAAGACAATCCAAAGATTGATAATTTAACCGGCTTGCTGAGGTCCAATTCTAACCCGGAATCTCAAATGTTTTCTTCTTCAACTTTTAGATGGTTGTATACATACAAATAATTTAAATAAAAGTAATAAGTTTCTTATTCTTTCTTATTTCAGAGTAGTACAGCTGAATGGCAGTCCGCTTCATCTGATAAACAACGCTTTCCCCGCTCTTAACCCCCTGAAACTGACATCCTACTTAACAATACCTGCCTTGTCATTAGGATTTGTGGTCATACCCGATGCCAAAGTTAAATTGTGTATATGACGTGTATCAATACACATATATACTAGTACACTTTGAATCAGTGAAAGTAAAAAACTCTATACTGTAACTCTACACTTCCTATATTTGATTTACTAATAAAGAATCGTGATAACCAGAAAAGTTAAAAACCTTCATCATTTGTACAGCGAGAATGCACCACAAAAGGTGTAGTCATTGCATGATGAAAACTAATTTTACACCGTCATAATGGCAAGATTAATAAAATTCTATTTTGAATCCTACTCAACTAGTTGAGTTCCACAAATCCATCGACACATCATGACTGTGGCATTGTGCAGGGGGCCTCGAGTTGTGAGATAAGTGTGATGGCAGTGGGAAATATTGCTGTCACCAATGTCATCTTACAACATAATCGATTATGTGTGTCTAACTGCAGTGCAAATAGCATTAAATTTGTCGTCTTTTCAGGTGGAAACGCCATGCCCTTCTTTGCAATCAATTCAATGTCTCAAAGCTGATGACGTCAGCGGATGATAATGGGATACAGGAACATGTATAACTCCACAACACTACACACATTCTCGTTACATTCATGTTCAAGAAACGAGTAGACCTTTCATGGGATCTGAAAGAGTGAAAGCCATAGCATACGCATTGACAATGGCCCTGCTATTGTGTGTGCAAACATGATAGCATAATTGCTCAAGGCCTTTTTTTAAAGAATTCAAACGAAGGGCGCGGTGACCACCACAAATAGAAAAGACAACCGTGATCACCACACAGCGTTCGTTTGTTTGTGAAAAATACGGAATGTTATTGTTGACATTTGGGATGTTTGGGCCGCAACATCAGAAGTTATGGTAATATGATTCACCTGCGGAAACTAACTTGAATGATATGAACTATAAGGCAGCGTTCTCTACAGTTCAAGGGACATTATATAAAACATACTGGTGTATATCAGTGTCTGTATTTGTCGATAACATAGTAAGCTAATGTTTCGAAAATATATTCTAGATATAATCTTTATGCTATTTTAAATATTTATCTGTGATATTCTGGTGATTTTACTGTCCATCGATGACAGATTTTAATTTAGTTAAAATATATGTATTTAAAAATGTACAATTTCTCGTCACGATGTGGCTGAAATATTGCCGATGTGACGTAAAGCATGAACTCACTCACTCACTAAATATAATCAGACGGCCAAAAGAAACTTTACTTTAAAGTAGTAAAGTTTCTTTGGGCCGTCAGATTATGCTAAGAAGAGCGTCCAAACACAACAATCCTCTTTGCAGAAAGTGATACACGTCCACGGCACGTTCTTTCTGTAGAAATTGCAAAAAAAGTGAAAAACACGTGCCGCTTTAGGCAAGCGAAACTACACGTTCAATAAGGGTTTATAAATAATATGGACAGCATGTCAGACACTCACACTGATAATAAAAAACACCACAGAAATGCAACGTCTGACATCCGAACAAACGCGAGCGGGCGCTGGTATGATACAAATGGGAGCCACTCATGCCCACATTGCTAGAACTTTTTGTTGCTCCCGTGGCTGTAACTTACCTAATGCAACGTTACAGACAGGCCGGGCAGACATCAGACAGACCAAGTACAGGCAAACCCAAGGTAGCTACGCCCAATGAAGACCGGTACTTGCGTGCTTTGCATCTCCGGAATCAATCCGGTCGTCTTCACTGTTGAAAGCCGGTTCTGTCTGTTCAGAGCTGATGGAAGACAGCATGTTACCGTCGAAGGGGAGAACGGACGGTGGCATGCTGCCTTTCAGGAGGTAGTGCCGTATCGTAGACGGGGTGTTATGGTGTGTGGAGGAATTTGTGGACACCACTGGCTATCGTTAACGGAAATTTGACAGCTCAGCCTTACATGGATGACATTCTTCGTCCGATTGTCCTACCATTTCTGCAACAGCTGCCATGTGGTGTCCTTTATCACCAGACCCCAGACTGCTCGGATCGGACAGCTACATAACTAACTTGCAGCCAAATACGTCAACGTCAGATTTCTTTTCAATACATTTTACTTCATGTATTTATTTTCTGTGGTTTTTAAACTTGAGTGATTTATAACAATGGTAAAGTTTCTTTTTTTTGCTGTCAATTTAATATATGAAAATATTTATGTACATGCATATCCTTCATGTTATAATCTTTTCCTAGATGTAAACCTGATTTATGTAATTTATTATAATCCAAACGGAAAGGAGCTATTATGTGCTGCTGTCTGGACTTCAATTTCTTCTTATGTTACTTTATCGTCACTCCCGCCTCTTAAATAACTATCAATGCTATTGGTGACAATGAAGTAGTTTAATCAAATAAAATGCATTGCAAAAACGAGGAAAATTCATAGAAATTGACAGTCCAAAATGGTAGTTACCTTCTCGAAGCTTCTCGAAGCTGTGTGTGCATTTCTGTTAAGTTACTGAATTTGGAAACATTAAGATATGATCCTTGGGAATCGATTGATGATGACACCAGACACCTACAGGTCATGGATGATTCAATCACGACAAAAGCAACATGTGATCTTGGTCTTATATGCTTTAAACAAAACCAAATGGTTTCTCAGAGCACGTGAGAGGCAAGCCAGGTTGGAACACTTTAATAAGACATCATAGTTAAGTACGTAGTGCGCGCAGTCGGTGGGCAGGAACATCATATTCGGTCTAAACGTCACCATCAGGAACATCACCGAGTAGGACTCCAGCAACGCCATTGATCTACTTAAATGCACGAAACAGGAAGTACAAGATTACGGTTTCAAGCTGGGAAATGACAACTTCTTCTTCAGGTAATACTGATAAAACAATTTTAATCTTACACATCAACGCTTTAAAACTATTTGCGATGTCTACTTTACAACTTATTGTAATTTATTTCGAATTTTAAAGAAATGGAATATGAATAATTCTAGAGGTTAAACTGCATTGTAAGCAAAGACATTTTAGGTTGATAAAGAATGTAGTATTCTGCAACAGAACCAACTATTTTTATTCATTCAAACATGGGCCAAATAAGTGGGCCGGCGATCTTCGAATGAGAATGTCAGCTCAGCATTTGTGTCCGCGCCACATCCCAAATGCACACATTTCGAAAAGCTATGTCTGCACATTTGCCATGTTTCTCCTGAATCTTGTCAATTACGTTAGCGTCAAAAGGGACAGAAAAATTCAATGATATATATGATTTTATTGGATTTATGAAAAAGGAAAAATCAGGTTTGTTGGCCTGGATATGTCTGAGGCTGTATACGGGCCTATATCAAAGAAATTTGTATTTGTCATTTTCGATGAAGCCCTCTACATATTCTGGGTCGTAAAATGGATGGACCCCTGTGTCACAACCACAAGCATGGCGAAGACGGTAATAAAAGCATCGAGCCACTCCATGATGTCGCTTAAGATACTGTGTTCGTGCCAAAGCTAGGCAATGTGTTTGACAGTCTCATTAATTTCATTGCGTAATCTACATTTCACAATTACATTTTGATGCAAAATCACACATTGACGGTTTCGTGTTCGAAGTGACTGGTCCTGAACAGCAATCAGAAATCCTTCTTTTTTACTGTTTCGGACGTTTTAATAAGGCACTTCGTTTGGTTGACAGAACCATCAATAACATCAACATGGGCACTGAGATTATGTCCCACATTCATGGCTGATTTAAAGGGCAAGTTCACACGAAAATAAACCTATTTTTCTTGTACTTTTTCATCATGAAAAGTATTTACCTAGTAGTTTCGGAGGCAAAACAATAAAAATATCACACGTATCTCATTTATTTTATTCATAAAATCGGTTCATATTTTTCACATTTACAGAGTGTTCTATTTCCATAATAAACACACCATGGCTTATGCCCTTGCAATATGACGTCATTGGTGCCAATTGATAAAGGAATGACGTCATAAGACTTTATCAGACGCGTTTCACGTGGTGTATGTAGAGGTGTGGTTCTATCTTCTCAGATGCGCAGCCTATTGTTTTGTTCGGTGCCGAGCTGTCCAAGATAAAACGCTAAGCACAATTACTCTAAAATTATTTCGTTTTCCAAAATCGGGACTGAGAAGACAACAATGCATGGATAACATACTGTAAGATTCGCGATTATGGTTGGAAGGGTCCGTTGTGCTATTCGTTCATTTGTGTTGCGCATATTGGCACTTGCTGAGTTGCTGTCGTCTTCCGTGAGAGTTTAGATACCTGCTGGTTCTGAAACCACAGGACCATATGTAACTAATAATAACAATAAAAAAAACTGGCCAAAAAAATTATAGACGAGGCCGAAGGCCGTTTTTGTTACTATTAGTAGTTACATGGTCCTGTGCTGAAACTGATCGGAAGCGGATGGCGTACGATCCTTATATGGAACGGGCTAAATGGACAGCACTCTCATCAAGACCCTGACTGGGATGTTTTTGTAAACAAACGCCGTAAAGTCGAAGTAACTCGATCAGGTAAGTTTGCTGTTTTGTTTCTTCTAACCACAGTAGTATTTAAGAAATGTATTTTAGCAGGGGTAGGGTGATATTTGTACATAGTTTCACTTGATAATCATGAATATCCTCGATGTTGTCTCGTTCACATGTTCACTTCCTCCATGGTTATGTCGATAAACCTGATCAGCTGATCGTTGCAGTATGCAGCAAACTCCTGATGATGGAGTAAGTTGTGTTACGTAATGTTTTAGTTTTACAGCCATTCCCGTCTGGAATTAACACAAATCATCTCATTCTGTTAATTAATAAACTTTATAATAACACAGGAATTATATAAACTCATTGAAATTCTGTGTGTGTGTACCTAATCTTTAAATAATCATGTACAATCATTTTGATTCAGACTGTTGAAGCAAAAAGCCGCAAAAACACATTGATCCACATGTTTATTTTTTTTATTTAGGCTTTATATATTTTTTGATTTAAAAAGATATCTGGTTTTGCTGGTTTGTAGCTGACAGTCACTATCAAAAATCATCGCCCACCCACCACCCAAAATATTCAAATTCCATGTTCAATGCAATTTACACACATATACAATTTATAGCATATTTATACATGAAAAAAATCAAGTACCATTTTTTATTTTGTGATAGTGAGATATAGATGACAAAGGAGTTAATGTTTCTATGTTGTATCTTTCAAATATGAAGTTTCGAGCCAAGTCATGCCAGACACCGATGCCCCAAAAGTACAGGTCCCCAGTCCATCATGGTGTACAGTCACTGTTTAATGTACACCAGAAGCATGG